CTTTCTTGTCACCCCAGGCCAAGCTGCTGCTCCAGTGGGAGCCCCTGGAGGCTGTCAGTTCCTCATCCCAAATCCTGTGCCTTCCCTACTCTCCCAGATCCTCTCCCAGGCCAGTAGCTATCACCAAAGCAGCAAAGAATTTTAGCATTGGGAGGACCCTCAGGGGCCATCGATTTCAACCCATATCTACAAGGCATCCCCACTAAAATACACCCAGCAAGCTGTCATCCAACATAGGAGATAGCTCAAATCATGAGGAAGTGTTATCTGTGTATCAAGCCTTTTCTTCAGCTTCCATCCATTGTCCCTAATTCTGCTCTCTAAGGCCAAATGGAACAAATCTAATTCCCCTTCCACATAACAGACCCTTGAATGCTTCAACCCGCCAAGAAATCAACCACCAAGCTTTTACTGAATGACTACTGTATGCTAAGCACTGTTCCAGGCACTGGTGACACAGATAAAAACAAAACAAGTTCTTCCCTCAAGGAGATTATATTCTATCAGTAGAGATAATATTATATATATATATATATATATATAAATTATGTATTTTACAAAAAAAAAAAAAAGGTCATTTGGGGAAGGGAGGAGGCCAGAGAAGCTAGGGCATCAGGAGAAGCCCCATGTAGGAGGGTGGAACTGATGGAAGCTAGGGATGGTAAGAGGAAGGGGCGAGGAGGCAGTGTGTCGCAGGCTGGCATGGCAGACAGCCTGACCAAAGGTCCAGAGGTGGGACATGCAATGTCATAAATAAGGAACCATAAGAATATCAACACAGCTAGACCATAGAAAACATGATGAGTGAGTGAAGATAAGCCTGCAAAGGTTGGTTGGAGCCAGACTGGAGCCAGGAGGGCTTTAAATATCAGATACAGGAGTTTGTTTTTAGTCCAAGATGTAATAGGGAGTCACTGGAGTCTATTCAGTATGGGAGTAAGGTAGTCAGATCTATGCTTTGGGAATATCACTTGGCAGCGGAATGAAGGATGGATTGAAAAGGGGAAGAGACTGGAGAAAGGGAGGACAATTAGGAGGCGACTGCGGCAGTCCAGACAAGAGGTAATGAGGACCCAGGGAGGTTAAGTGATGTGCCCTACGTCATGCAGATTGTATCAAAAGGGAGATTTGAACCCAGGACCTTTGACTCCAGAACCAATGCTCTTTCTGCTGTACCATACTGTCTCTCCCAGGACAACCAAGAAAGACCAGTGTCATAAAAACTCAGAGAGGAGACAGTATACAGGAGGAGAGGGTGATGGCCGTGTGAGTGGAGTGTTTTTCAGTCATGTCCGATGCTTCATGACCCCATTTGAAGTTTTCTTAGCAAGGATACTGGAGTGGTTTGCCATTTCCTTCTCCAGATGATTTTACAGATAAGGAAACTGAGGCAAACATGGTTAAGTAATTTGTCCAAGGTCACAGAGCTAGTAAGTGTCTAAGGCCAAATTTGAACTCAGGTCCTTCTGACTCCAGGGTTGGTGCTCTATCCACTGTACCACCTACCTGCCTGTAATTGAGTTGTTTTCAGTTGTATCCAACTCTTCATGATCCCATTTGGGGTTTTCTTGGCAGAGATACTGGAGTGGTTTGCCATTTCCATCTCTAGCTCATTTTACAGTTGAGGAAACTGAGGCAAACACAGGATTAAGTGACTTGTCCAGGGTAATACAGCTAGTAAGTGTCAGGCCAGATTTGAGCTCATGAAGATAAGTCTTCCTGACTCTAAGCCCAGTGCTCTATCCATTATGTCACCTAGATGCCCCACCATAAAAGTAAAATGGACAAAACTTGGCAACCAGTTGGTACTGGAAGGTGGGGAGAGTTAAGGATGGCTCTGAGGTTGTGAACTGGGCTGACTGGAACAATGCTGGTGTCCTGGATAGAAACAGGGAAGTTCTTTCACAACATGACTAATGTGGAAATGTTTAACATGATTGTACATGTGTAACCTATATCGGATTGCTTACTCTCTTGGGGAGGGGGGAGGGAAGGGAGTAAGGGAGAAAAATTTGAAATTAAAATTTTATAAAAATGAATGTTGAAAACTATCTTTACATGTAATAGGGAAAAAATACTATTAAGTGCAAAAAAAAAGAAATAGGGAAGTTCAGAAGAAAAGTGGATTTGAGGGAGAAAGAATAGGTTCTTGTTTTAGACAGACTGAGTTTGAGATGCCCATGGGACATCCAGTTGGAAATGTCCAATAGACAGCAATACTCTGGTAAATGTTTAACTACCAGTTCTCAAGGTGGGGGAGGGGGGATTATGTCCAATACTCTTTTGAGTTTAATCTGCATCATTAATATTTTTCCTGTCCTTGAGTCTAGAAATAAAATTATAAATCAAGTCCTGATTGGTAGTGTTGGCTGGTTTCTAGGTGTACATGTTCATACTGAAATCTTAACAATCGGCTCTCATGAGCTGGTACCAGCTGGCTCTAGCATATCTCTGCCAACAGGTGATGTAGGAATAGAGTTCAGTAGAGAAATGAGGGATGGATACATAGGTCTGTGAGTTATCTGCATAGAGATGATAACTAAGCCCATAGGAGCTGATAAGGTTACTAGGAAAGTGTAGAGAGAAAAGAGGTCCCAGGACAGAGCCTTGGACTATATCCACAGTCAGGAGGCAGGGTGATGAGCCAGCAAAGACAATGGAAAGAAGCTATCAGATAGATAGGGGGATCCACTTAATATAATTCCCTCATTTTACAGATGAAGAAACTGAGGCCCAGGGAGGTTAAATGATATGCCCCCAAGTAACACAGATGGTGTAAAAGGTGTGATTTGAATCCAGGTCCTTTGACTCCAGAACCAACAGGCAGTTATTTCCACTGCACCATTCTCTTTCTTAGCCAGCCAGGAGAGGTCAGTGTCATAGAAACTCAGAGAGGAGATAGTATCCAGGAGAAGAGGGTGCTTAACAGCGTCCCGTGCTGCAAAAAAGTCAAGAAGAATGAGGATTGAGAAAAGGCCATTGGATTTGGAAATCAAGAGACCATTGGTAACTTTGGAGGGATTGGATTCTGTTGGGTGGTGAGTTCTGAAGTCAGATTACTTGAAGACAGACATCTCTTCTTCCTGAGTCTTCTTTTCTCTAATTCATGTTTTTCCTAGTTTCCCCCAGTTCTTCCAATTTATCCTCATACAACATAGACTCAAGGTCCTTCATCAATCTGACAATCATTCAATAAATATTTATTAAGCACCTACTAAGTGCCAGGCACTGTGCTAAGTGCTGGAGATACAAATACAAATAAAAACAAAGAGTCCCTGCCCTCAAGGAGCTTATGATCTAATAGGAAAAGACAACGCATGAACAGAAGCTGAGAAGGGGAGGAAGGGAGAGCACGGGGAAGGTAGCAGTCAAGGAGGCATGATGGAAAAAGTCCAAAAAAGTCAAAAGCAGTGTAGCTGGTGGGAAATTGGAAGAAGACTGCTGAACCCTGTTAAATAAACACCCTTTAGCACTGTCCTCCAGTTAGAGGCTGACCTCCTCTGGACATTCTGAATTATCAATGTGCTTCTTTCTCTGTGGTACATAGGAGGGGGGTAAGGGAAGGGAATAAGCACTGATTTATGTATCAAGAGCTTTTTATAAATATTATCTTGATCCTCACAACAATCTTGTGAGGTAAGTGCTATTATTATCTCCATTTACAGTTGAGGAAACTGAGGCAAACATGTTAAGTGATTTACCCAGGGTCACACAACTAGTAAGTTTCTGAGGCCAGATTTGAACTCAAGTCTTCCTGACTCCAAGCCCAGAGCTCTAACTAAAATGCGATAGTGTTCTAGATATAATCTGACAAAGGTAGAATACAGAGAAATTAACACTTCCTTATTCCCCCGAAGCTTTTCTTAATGTATCCCAAGATCATGTTAGCCTTTTTTTGGCTGCCACATCATACTGTTGATTCTTATTGATTAAGCATTAGAACCATTAGAATGATTAGAACCCCAGGATCTTTTTCAGAAAAAAAAATGTTGTCCTCCATTCTGTACCTGTGAAATTGATTTTTTGGACCTAAGTGTAGCACTTTACATTTGTCACTATCAAATGTCATTTTATTAGATTTAGCCCAAGGCTCTGGTGTAAGAGCCTGTGAAGATCTTTTTGGATTCTGACTCTGTCACAGTGTGTTAGCTATCCCTCTCAGCTTGAAGTCATCTGTAAATTGGATAAGCATATCATTTTCACCTTTATCACTGATAAAATTGTTAAACAGAATAAACCAAACACAGATCCCTGGGGCATTATACTGGAAACCTACTGCAGGTTGACATTGAACCATTAATGACTAGATTTTGAGGCTAGCCATTCAACCAGTTATGACTCTATAATCCACATATCTCCATCTCCTCCAACAGAATAGTGTAAGACACTTTTTTTAGAAGCTTTGCTAAAATTAAGGTAAATGAAAACCCCAGAATTTTCCTCATCTCTTAGTTTAATACTCCTGTCAAGAAGGGAAATGAGGTTGGTCTGGAAGGACCTTCTTGAGGCCACTCTGCTGACTCTTTATAATCACTGTTTCCCTTTTTAGATATTTGCCAACCATCTCTTTAACAATCCATCCTAGAGAGTTCCCAGGAATCCAAGTCAAACTCACTGGCCTGTAGTTTGCTGATGCTGTTCTTTTCCCTTCTTTGGACACTGGGGCCAAATTTGCTCTACTCCCTTCCTGAGGGACCTCTCTCATTCTCCATGAGCTTTCAGCTGTCACTGACAGTGGGGCAGCTGTCACATCTGAGGATGTTATTCATGCGGGCCAAGTGACACGAACTCATCAAGGGCACTTAGGTTTCTCTTACTATTTCCTTACTTACATGGGGGCATCAAATGATGAAGTTGGACCAGATCATGGCCCATTCAGCTCTGATTCTCTGACCCTATGATAGATGAACAGTGTCTACAAAGTCAGACTCTTGAGTTTCCTTGGTCACTCCCAAACTTATCTTCAATCCATGTCTCCCCCACCCCTCATCCTGCCCCAGGCACTGGAGGAATTAAAAATGTCCGGGCCAGGCCCAACGGCTTCCTATGAGCAGCTGGTGCGGCAGGTGGAGGCCCTGAGCCGGGAGAACACGCACCTGCGGAGAGAACTCCAGGATAACTCCAGTCATTTGTCAAAGTTGGAGAATGAGACCTCTGATATGAAGGTATGACTAGGGGGCACAGAACCTAGAGAGACAGGGACATTGGGATGTGAGAGATGGGGTCACAGACACAGGATACGGAAAGGGGGCCATGGGACATCAAGAGTTAAAGACACAAGGATATGGGACCCATGGGCTAGGGTTGAGGGGAGCAGACCATAGGACTTAAGGGCTATAGAGACAGAGATTATAGCTAAGTGGTGGAAAGAGGAGAGTAGCAAGGCTAGGGATTGGGGGAGGAGATGAGGTGGATCTGGTACTGGGATCTGTTGAGGTAGAAAGCTGGAGGTGGAGTGTTAAGGAAGTATAAGTTGCGTTGAGATAGAGTGAGGAAAGTTCTGGGAGCTGAACAATGGGGAGATGAAGGGGGGAAGATTGTATAATGGAATCCATTGCTACCCCCACCCCCCACCCCCAGTCAAATTCCAACTGCCACGCTCACAGGCAGCTGTGTTGGAAAGAACAGTCCATTCCTTCCTCTCTCTGGGCCCCAGTTTCCCCATCTGTAAAATAGTGAAAATTCCAAGTAGCAATCTTCCTTGCTCCCGGGGGCTGTGGTAGGGGTGGAGGAGTGAGTCCTCATTCCAGAAGGTGGAATCTGACGGAGCTGAGGTTTGCTTTCCTTCCTAGGAGGTGCTGAAGCACCTTCAGGGGAAGTTGGAGCAAGAAGCCCGAGCGATGGTATCATCTGGGCGGACTGAGTTATTGGAGCAGCTGAAAGGTAAGGGGGTGGGGGGAGGAGAAGGGAGCACTGGGCTCCATGCCTGGGGGAAAAGCTACGACAAAGCTCCTACCATCTTGGAGCATCCAAGCTAACAGGACTCATGGGCCTGAGGCAGTGGACCAGGCTGGGAAATGGGTACAGTGTGGAGAGCTCTGGATTGGCTCTGAGGAGACCCAGGCTCTGACTCTTTTAATTCACCTACTCAGAGATATTTCACTCTCTGGGCCTCAGTATCCCCATCTGTACAGTGAGAGTTTGGAAATATGTAGTCTTTAGACCTAGTTCTAGATTCTGTGATTCTGTGAATGTGGTTCTAACCTTGAATGAAACAAGGAAAAGACAGAGTGATCAATCAATCAGCAAGCATTCATTAAGCACCTACTGCATGCCAGGCATTGGGTTAGATTCTACACACACAAATATGAAAAAAAAACAGTCCCTGCCCTCAAGAAGCTTACATTCTACTTGGGGGAAACATGTATATAGGCAAACACAAAATATACACAAGCCAAATACAACCCATTTTTTTTTCAGAGGGGAGAGGCACTGGTAGCTGGGGTGGAGGGGTTGAAATAAGGTCTTATGTAGGAGCTGGCGTATGGGCTGAGCTTTGAGGATGGCGAAGTGGTGAGGGCCTGAATTAGGGCAGTGACTATGGGAGTGGAGATAAGGGGATGGATGCCAGAGATGCTACACAGTATGGGAAACTGTTCCCATACTAATGATGTGGGAAAGTTAATAATTGAGGAACATGCTGATAAATGCTCATGAATCTGGATGATGATGGAAAGGATGGTAGTGTCTTCACCAGAAATAAGAGGCTTAGGTTCAGTTCTATTTCAGACATGTTGAGTTTGAGGAACATCCATTTTGAAATGCTCAATAGACAGTTGGTGATGCTAGACCAGAACTCATGAGAGACACTATGGCTGGAAATGAAGATCTGGGAGTTATCTGCATAGAGATGTAATTAAACCCATTGTAGCTGATGGGAAAGAAAGCATAGAGAGAGAAGAGAAGAGGTCTTGGGAGAGAGCCTTGGAGTATACCCACAGTTAGCATGGATAATGATCCAGCAAAGGGGACTGAGAAGGAGCAGTCAGACAGGCTAAGGAGGAAAGACAAGTTTCAAGAAAACCCAGAGAGGAGAGAGTATTCAGAAGGTGGTCAGCAATGTCAAATGCTACATGGGTCAAGGAGGAAGACTGAGACACAAGTGTACAAGGATCCTGAGATTTATACAGTGGGATAAACTCAATTGGTGGCTTTATATAGTTCAGCCAAGTGCATATCCCCGAGGTGTAATGTCAGGGGATTTGGTAATTCCATCTCGAAGACTCTGGCTCTGGTAGCTTTGGAGAGTACCTGTGATAAGGTTGGATGCTAGATTTCTTTTCTTTTCTTTTCTTTTTGGATACTAGATTTCAAGGTATTGAGAAGTGAATGGTATTAAACTAACAAAAACAATCCAAGTAGGAGAAATGAAGTCGTTGACTGGGGGGGAAAAATCCCTGCATCAAGTATCTCAGATAAAAATCCAATATTCAAGATATGTAGAGAACAAAAGCAAATATATTAGGCTGAGAGCCATTTCCCTAATAGATGCATGGTCAATCAATCAACGGGTTTATTGACTGTTTGCTTATTGCCAGGCACAATGCTAAGTGCTGGGAATCTAACAGCTCTCAGAAGAAGAATTACAAACCATTAGCAAGGATAGAAAACATTGCTCCAAATCATTAATAATAAGAGACTTGCAGATAGAAAGAATTGAGTGAAGTAGACAAACTCAGAGGATGTAGAAGCAGTGAACCTACGGACAGCTTTTCCTAGGAGCTTGGCTATGAAAGGTAAGAGATACATAGGACCCTGGGTAAAGTAAGATCCATTGAAGGCTTTTCTTTAAGGATGAGGAAACCTGGACACATATGTAGACAGTAGGGAAGCAACTGGGAGATAGGAAGAGACTGAAGACATATTACTGTGAGTATTGGACAGAAATATATGGGTTTTTAAAAATTTTTGAAATAATATTTTATTTTCCCCCAACTACATGTAAGAACAGTTTTTACCATTTTAAAAAAAGTTTTGAGGCCCTCCTGCCCGGGCTTGTGCTGGCTGCACTCAGGGGTTCCTTGGGGTTTGCGCTCTGCAGCTTGGGCTCCAGCCAGGCTCGAGGTTCTGCCTGTCCCAGCCTGCAGGGGTCCCAGCCCCACAGCTTGACATGCCTGTGTGCGTGTTGTGGCCCTTGTACCTGAAAATGGTCGCAGCTGGGATGGGGGCCGTGCTGGTGGGGGCAGAAGTGGTGCACAGGTACTACTAACCTGATCTAACTATACCTAAAGTCCCCCCAAAACGTGGTGAACTCAAGACAGAGCTTCTGGGGCTGAAAACCAGAGAAGAGCAAGATCAGATTTCTCAGCAGCAGTGATCTACATGGTCAGCATTTGACATGGGGACTTATACTGCGTTTTTATACATGTGGTCAATCAACTTGCTTGTCCCAATACACTCAGGGTTCTCCATGAACATTAATAAATTCAGCAGTATTTGTGGTTTGACTTGTGCGACCTGAGAATTATTTGAATGAACTCTCCCCAGCCTTTGGAATGTAATTTGGAAGCTATTTAATTGGGTTCTGGATATAATGTAAATTACATATAAAACATATTGGAATTAAAAAAAAAGTTTTGAGTTCCAAATTCTATCCCTCTATCCCTCCCCTCCCTTATCTCTGAGACGATAAGCAATCTGATATAGGTTATACATGTGTAATCATGTAAAACATTTCTAAAAAATTGGTTTTAATCCCAGCCCTGCTATTCAGTAGTCATTTAAGTCATTTGGACCTCAGTTTCTTTATCTGTCAAATTGAGGAGTTTGACTAGATATATAAAGTTTCTTCCAGCTTCCAGTCCTATGACACTTGTTGTGTGACCCTGAACAAGTCCTTTTTCCTCTCTGGGCCTCTGTTTTTCCATCTATTCAATGGGGAGAATGATCCCTACTCTCCCTACTTCCTAGGGCCAAGAGGAGTTGCAAGTAAGAAGCCATTGCTTGGACCTTGGGTGCAGGGAAACTCACAGCCCCTGCTTACCTTCTGCCCTGGCTTCTCTCTCATCTTCCAGCCCTGCAGATGGATATCACCAATCTGTACAACCTCAAGTTTCAGCCCCCAGCTCTTGCTGCAGAACCAGGCAGCCAGAATCGGAGCCGCAGCCGGAGCCCCGAGGGCAGCCCCCTGCACTGTGCTGCCCCTGCACCGGCTGTTCCAGGGCTGTCCAAGAAAAGAGAAGAATCAGGAGAATTGAGCAGGGCCACTGTCCGGCTGCTGGAGGAACTAGACAAAGAAAGGTAAGAGGGAGCGGGGAAGATGAAGCCCTTCAAGAGTGTTGACCAGTATGAACAGTCCTGGTTCTGCCACTAACTTGCGGTTTTACCTTGAGCAAATCTCTTCCTCTCTCTCAGCCTCCTTGCTGTGTGACATTGGACAGGTCACATACCTTCTCTGGGCCCCAGTCTCTCCATTCAGACAATGTGAGTGGGCAGCACAATCCCTGTCCCTCTGAGTGTTGTCATGGGAAGGGTCCAGGGCTCTGGGAACATGCTGGAGGTCTTTGGGAGAAAGTGATTCAACATCCTGCTTTTTATCTCTTCTTCTACCTCTGGCCTTGGAGGGTGGGAATGAGTCAGGAACGTCTCTGCAATCTGTAGAATCTTTGCATCAACTGAGAACAGCACAGTGACAATTTTTCACTTTGATTTTTGGTCCCATCTTTCTACCTCAGTATCTGACTTCATTTGTCTTGTGTCCTATTTCTTGTCTCTTTGCCTCATCTCTCTCCCTCTGTGTGTGTGTGTGTGTGTGTGTGTGTGTGTGTGTGTGTCTCTCTCTCTCTCTCTCTCTCTCTCTCTCTCTGGCTAGGCAGTGGGGTTAAGTGACTTGCCCAGGGTCACACAGCTAGTAACTGTAAAGTGTCTGAGGCCGAATTTGGACTCAGGTCTTTCTGACTCCAGCGCAAGCGCTCTATCCACTGCACCACCTAGGGTCTGTCTCCAAGCAAGCATGACCCCCTCATTTCTCTTCTGCCATGAGTTTTCCGCCAAGTCAATTCAACTCAACCAGCCATCATTTTTATGTGTGCCTGTTGGAGCCCCAAAACTGATGTTGAGGAATATATTCAAACAAGACAAGATCCCAGACCTTGGGCATTGTACAAGGAGCCCTAAGCTTGGAGTCAAGAGACTCCAATCCTTTACTAGCCATCTGACCTTGAATAAGTCAATTCCCATCCTTGGGCCTCAGTTTCTCTATCTGCTAAATTAAATTAATGACATTTGACAAAACTCACTTCCTCCTGAGCTTGTTGAAAGGAAAGTCCTTTGCAAACAATAATAGGGACTGAGAAGAAAGCTAAGGTTGTTACTGGGAGATTAGTGAGAGGGAACCCCGGTGGCACCCCCTCAACTATGTCCTCCCCATCTCCCACCAGGTGCTTCCTGCTGGCAGAGATTGAGAAGGAAGAACAAGAGAAACTCTGGTATTATGGGCAGCTCCAAGGCTTGTCCCAGCGCCTAGATGAGCTGCCTCGGTCGGAGACGGTGAGGAGGAATGGGGCAAGGTGGAGGCTCCGAGGGTTTGAGTTCTACATCTGAGGAGTTGGGGAGGGGGCTTGTGTGGCTGGATTGTTCAGTTGTCATCTCTGGGAGGGAAGGGGAATCCCCCTCCAGTCCTATGGTTCACCCTCACCACCCCTCCAGCTTTATTTGGTTTTTGGCAGTTTTAATTCTATTTTCAGTTTTGAATGATCTCCCTTCCCCCACCCCCTTTCACCCATTGAGAAGGCAAGAAAATCAAAACCCCCTACAAATATGTACATTCATGCAAAATAAATTCCCACAGTAACAATGTAAAAAAATAAAGAGAAAAAAATCTGCTTCAATCTGCTCTGAGTCCATCAGCTGTCTATTTGGAGGTGGACAACATGTTTCATCATGAGTCCTTTCAAACTGTGGTTGGTCATTGTGTTGATTAGAGTTACTGTCTGTCCTAGTAATTATCTTTATACAGCTGTTGCTGTATAAATTGTTCTCCTGATTCTGCTCACTTCACTTTGTATCAGTTCATACAAGTCTTCCTAGGTTTCTCTGAAACTACCCCCTTCATTATTTCTTACAGCATAACAGTATCCCATCACATTGATAACTTGTCCAGCTATTCCCCAATTGATGGGCATCCCTTCAATTTCCATTTCTTTGCCATTACAAAAAGAGAGGCTATAAATATTTTTTGCTCACATGAGTCCCTTCCCTCTTTCTTTGACCTCTTTGGGGTATAGCCCTGGTAGCAGAATACCTGGGTCAAAAGGTATACACAGTTTAATAGCATAGTTCCAAACTGCTTTTCAGAATGGTTGGACACAGCCGCACCAAAAGTGCATTAAAGAACTCCTTTTCTCACAGACCCTGAAGCGTTGTCATTTTCCTTTTTTGTTATATCCCTTCCAGTTTTCCATGCAGACAGACCTGATCCGGCAGCAGCTGGAGTTCGAAGCTCAGCACATCCGAGCGCTGATGGAAGAGCGATTCGGGACCTCAGACGAGATGGTGCAGAGGGCTCAGGTGGGGACCGGGAACCTGACACTAGAAAGACCTCCCTCCACCCTTATAAAAACACACACTGCCAGGGAGAGCTTTGGGCTGAGGACTACAGGTGGAGGGAGGATTAGACTGAAGAGAGGGCTCAGAGCCAAGGACTGGGGCTGGATTGAGGGCAGTGATGGAGCCGAGGATTAGGAGTGGAGCCAGACACAAAGACTAGACTGAGGGCAGTGATGGAGCCAGGGGTTGGGGCGGAGCCAGTGCCTGAGGTCCGAGTCATGAACTGGGGCGGGCTGGGGGCAGGGCGTGAGGCCGGGGGGCGGAGCTGGGGTTGGGGGTCGCGCTTGCTTGGAGACGGACCCTAGCCCAATATTTTAACACCGTAGATCCGAGCCTCTCGCCTGGAGCAGATTGAGAAGGAGCTTTCGGAAGCACAAGCTCAGACCCAGACCCGGGAGCGAGCGCAGCAGCCACAGCCAGAGCACCAGGTACCTCGGGGTGGTGACGTCCGAGCTCAGGAGACGCCTGCCTCAACTGCCCATTCCAGTTTGGTCACCAGTGTGCTCTGGGTGGTCCCAAGTTCGTGGGAGGTGGAAGTGGGAGATGAGGGGGACTGGCCAGCCCCCAAACCGTTACCTTCCATCCTCCCTAGAGGACAAGCCAAACTATGGGGAAGCACAAATGAAAGAGGTCTAATGGTGGAACTGTTGGCATCGTAGGGGCGGGAAGGAGAGGAGAGAACCTTGGGGCAGGAACTGTAGGGCAGGGAGCTAAGAACATATCCAGTTAGTGGAGCCTCCTTGCCCTCTGCAAGGTGTGTGTGTGTGTGTGTGTGTGTTCAATGCAATTTGATAAGCATGTTTACGTGCCTACTATATGTCAGGCACTGAGTTAGGCACAAGGGCAAACATGAAATAGACTTTGTCTTCAGGGAGCTTACACTCCACTGGGGGGAAACACCATAAACTCAACAATAAGAAATATTTTTTGAGAAGCCAGTCAAAGTAACTGAGGAAATCAGCAAATGGGAGCCTGTGGGAGGTGTCACTTGAGCCAGACCTTAAAGGAGACTGAGGGTTCCAAGAGACAGAGCCTAGGAAGGAGAGCTTTCCAGGCCCTAGGGGACAACCCAGGAGGGAGGTGGGATGGAAGGGGAACTGGAGTGGGCGAATTTGCCTGCAGTATTTATGAGGGGGAGTCATGGGAAATAAGTCTATAAATACAGCTTGAAACCAGATTGCAACGTCTTTAAATGCCAAACAGAAATTTGCATTTTCTCCTAGACGCAACAGAAAACCACTGAAGTTTCTTAAACAGGGGAATGACAGGATCAGATGTGTGCTTCTGCAGGGATGTGCCCCAGACAGCTAGACAAAGAGAGCTGGTTGTTAAATGTTCATTTACACCTCTAAAATCGGCAACATCTACCAATCAAGGCTTGATTTATTGTTTTATTGATTGTCCAGATTTAGGAAAGTGTTAATAATTAAATAATTAAACTTAAAATTCTCTCTGTGGGTACATTTCTTTCTTCTGCTGCAGAGTCAGTTGTTAAACATTTACCAGCACACTCCTGGCTTTGGGAATACAGTTTGGGCCCCCTGTGGTGGAACATGCCTGTAATCCCTGCTTACAGGGGAAGGCTGAGACTGGTGGATCACTTGAGTTTGGGAGTTCTTCGTAGAGGCTAAAGCCAATGGGGTGTCTGCCCTAAATCTAGCATAATTATAATGAGCCCCTTGAGCACAGAGCAGGTAGGAGGGATAAACCCATCTAGGTCAGAAACAGGACAGGTTAAAGCTTCCTGTCCAGCCACCAGTAGGATTGGGCCTGTGACTGGTCACTGTGCTTTTAGCCTGGACAAGATAGGGAGACAATACAGATACAGATGTTGCATGTGTGCATATGTGTATATATAATATAGGTTTTTGTTAAGTCGTTCTCAGTTGTGTCTGACTCTTCATGTCCCCTTGTGGGGTTTTCTTAGCAGAGATACTGGAGTGATTTGCCATTTCCTTCTCCAGCTCATTTTACAGATAAGGAAACTGAGACAAACAGGATGAAGTGAATTGCCCAGGGTCACACAGCTACTAAATGTCTGAGGCCAGATTTATAACTGAGAAAGAGGAGTCTTTCTGACTCCAAGCCTGGCACTCTATCCACTGTACCATCTAGCTGCCTCTATGTATAATATATGATTATATATATAGTATACCTATATCTACATCTATGATTTGGCAGCTGTATGGAGAGATGGAAGGCAAGGAGTCCAATTAGGGGCTGTTGGGATAATTCAGGAGAGGTGATAACAGCCCAGACCAGAATGATGCCTTTTATGAGTAAAGAGGAGATGGAAATGAGAGATGTTATAAAGGGAGACTGGACAGCTGGTTGAGTGTGAGGGCTGAGGGAGAGTCAAGAGCTTAAGATGATTCATAGGTTGCAAACCTGGGTGCCTGGAGGGGTAGTGGTGCCCGTAACAGAAACAGAGGAGCTAAGAAGGGGGATGTTCCTCTTTGTTGAGGGGAGACAATGAATTCTCTGTTGGACATGTTAAGTTTCAGTTGCCAATGGGACGTTGAGGTGGAGATATCCATTGGGCAGTTAATTGGTGATACAGCTCTGGAGCTCAGGAGAGGGATGAGAGCTGGGTATATAGATCTGGGAGTCGTCTGTGTAGAGGTGATAACTGAACCCATGGGGTGTAATGTGATGAGAAAGAGACAGAAAGATGAGAGATACAGGAGAGAAAGACAGGAGAGGAGGGGAGAGATGAGAGAGAGGAGAGAGAGACAGAGATGAGAGAGAGACAGGAGAGATGAGAGAGAGACAGACAGAGAGACAGGGGAGAGAGAGATACAGGAGAGAGAGACCAGACAGAGAGGAGGGGAGAGATGAGAGAGAGGAGAGAGAGAGAGAGAGAGAGAGAGAGAGAGAGAGAGAGAGAGAGAGAGAGAGAGAGAGAGAGAGAGAGAGGAAGAGAGGAAGAGAGGAGAGACAAGGGGGGTGGAGAATAGGAGAGAGACAGACAGAGAGAAAGAGAAGAAAAGAGGGCCCAGGATAGAGGCCAAGGCATACCTATATTAGAGGGCAGTACATGAAACATAAGCTCCCTTCTTCCCACAGACCCTGCTAGGGGCAAAGCCAACAGGGGCAGAGGGGGATGGGGAGGCAGAAATCCCCACACACCCAGAGGATGGAACCACCCAACTCAGCAACAGCAAGGTAAGAATTGAAGAGCCACGCCCACACTTCCAAGAGCTGGGATGAAGACCTGGGTTGAGTAGGGTATGTGGGCCGGGTTGGTCTGGGGCTGGTGCAGCAGGGGATGGTTCCAAGAGGAATCGTCCCAAAATGGGGAGAGGGGGTGGATGGGTTCTCAGGGCGCCTAGGTAGGGATGAAGAGCAGGGCGCAGGGATCTAGGAGGTAACAGAGAGCAAGGGTCCCCGTCGGACACTGAGCACGTTTATCACCACCACAGGTGGAGGTGGTGTTCTGGCTACTGTCCATGCTGGCCACGAGGGATAAAGAGGACATGGCACGGACCCTCCTGGCCATGTCAAGCTCCCAGGAGAGCTGTGTGGCCATGCGCCGCTCTGGCTGCCTGCCGCTCCTGCTGCAGATCCTCCATGATGCTGACCGTGAGGCGGGCCCTGCCGAGGGGGCCAAGGATGCCCGCATGCGGGCCAACGCAGCCCTACACAACATCATCTTCTCCCAGCCTGATGAGGGCCAGGCCAAGAAGGAGATGCGAGTGCTGCATGTGCTGGAGCAGATCCGCTCTTACTCTGAGACCTGCTGGGACTGGCTTCGGATGCAGGGCCAAGATGGGGGCCAGGGCCCTGAGGGGGGTGCTGGTGAGTGAGTGGGGGGTGAGAAGGGAGCTAAGATGTGGAGGGCCTGGAAGGGGAGGTACCTGCTGGAAAGAGCCAAGCGATCTGGGTTCTCATCTCGTCCTTGTCATCGACCTGTCCTGCCTTAGACACTCCCTTGCTGTGTGACCATGGGCAAGAGCCTCAGTTTTCTCATCTATAAAATGGGGATAATAACACTTGCCTCCCCTCCTCACAGGATCACTTTGGGGAAAGCATTTTGCAAGCCTTACTGTGCTTTAGAAATGTCAGATATAAAAATTATTATTGACTTGAATGACTTTGCATGAGTCAGCTCACCTCTCTAGACCTCAGTTTCCACACCTGCCTCTGAGCCTTCTCCTTCCTCTTCCCCTCCCCCCAGGGCCCGTACCTATTGAGCCGCAGATCTGCCAGGCCACATGTGCAGTGATGAAACTCTCTTTTGATGAGGAATACCGCCGGGCCATGAATGAACTTGGTAGGTATAGAGGGAGGGAGGGAAGGAGGGAGAACAGCAGATTCCCTGCTGAGTACTGGGAGAGACTCCAGGGAGTTCTGTCAGCTGTTCTTTGGGAGAGGCCTTGCTACATGCTTGGTGCAGGGGAGGAGTGGGGGAAGGGAGGCCACAGAGAAGAACTGGGCTCCTCTTCTTGGATTCGATGGATGACGCCCACCCTCACCTACACACAGGCAGAAAGATCTCTTAATGTACCAGGAATACAGAGAAAGTGCTATGAGAAATTTGAAGAGGGAGAGGTCATTTTCACCTGTTCGATGGAGGAAGTAGGTTCTTCAGAATCCTAACCAGGGTAGGGTGGAAGGGGCTTTGTCCCAAGATGCCAAATTTAGAGGGAGCTGACATTACCAGCAGTCTGTTAGCCAAGCAGAAACAACTGAGATTAGCACCAGTCAATCAATAAGCATTTATTTAATGCCTACTTATGAGCCAAGCACTGTGTGAGGCGATGGGGATACCAGTACAAAGACTGAAATAATCCCTACTCCCAAAGAGAGATAAGAATTGATAGAGATAGATAGATAGATAGATGCATATAGCTTTATCTATCAGTCTATACAGATAGATATAAATGGTGTATTTATCTATAGATATGTACAAATATATCTATATGTGTGCAGGATAAATATAAAGTTAATAAAATGCAAAAAGATGCAATGCCATTAAACACAAGGTAGTCTGGGAAGAAGGAAGGACACTAGCTGTTGGGAGAAGGAGCCAGGAAAGGTCTCCTGCAAAAGATGGTGCCTGAGCTACCTCCTAAAGGAAGAGAGGGGCTTGCCAAGGCAGAGGTAAGGACAGAATACATTCCAGGCATGAGAAATGGCCATTATGAAGGCACAGAGACAGAAGATGCAGTGTTATATGGGAGGGGCAAAGAGAAAGCCCGTTTGGCCCTGGATCACAAAGTGTGGGAGGGGGAGTGAGGTCCACAAGCCTGCCGTGATTGCTTGGGGCCAGATTGTGAAGGGCTTTAAAAGCTGAACGGGGTTTATATTTCATAGTTAAGATGCCATAGCAAGCCACTGGAGTTGGCTGAATAGGGGAATCACAGAGTTAGATCTGCATGTGAGGACAATTACTTGAGTGGCAGGGTGAAGGGTGGACTGGAATGGTGAGAGATTCAAGGCAAGGAGACCAGTGAGGTGATTGCAGCAATAACTGAGGTGAGAGGTGACTGTGTGACTCTGGGCAAGTCACTTAATGCCCATCTGCCTCAGTTTCCTCATCTGTAAAATGTGGTTAATAACACCTACCACCCAAGGCTGCGGTGAACGAGGGGGGCTGTGTGAGGAGGGAGAGGGGACTGGATATGAGAGAGGTAGTGGAGGTGGAAATGTAAGATTGGGGAAAGGGAGGAGTCAAGGAGAATGATGAATCTGGGAGACTGTAGGATGGCAATACCTTTGACAGAAACAGGGAAGCTAGAAGGGGGAAATATAAGAAATCCAGTTTGGAATATGTTGAGTTAGAGATGTCTCCAGTACATTCGGTTTGAAATGTCCACTAGGCAATCGGTGATGCATAAATGAAACTTAGATGAGAGATGAGGGCTGGAAACACACACACGCATATGCACATGCACATATACACACATGTGTATACACCCATACACATCTATATATGTGTTATACAGATGTTACATCGTATAACTATATATATGTGTATGGACAGGTAGGTGGCACAATGGATAGGGTGCTGGGCTTGGAGTTAGGAAGACCTGATTTCAAAAGTGGCCTCAGACACTTACTAGCTGTGTGACCCTGGACAAGTCACTTAATCCTGTTTGCCTCAGTTTCCACATCTGTCAAATGAGCTGAACAAGGGCATGGCAAACCACTCCAGTATCTTTGCCAAGAAAATCCCAAATGAAGTCATGAAGAGTCAGAAACAACTGAAAAAAATGACTAAACAACAACATATATAACTATATAACTGTGTATATATAACACACTGTATAACTAACATATATAGGTGTTGTGCAGGTATATGTATACATATATGTATATGTATGTGCATGCATATATATATATATATATATACAGCTAAGTGGCACAGTAGATAGAGCACTGACCCTGGAGTCAGGAAGACGTGAGTTCAAATCTGGCCTCAGACACTTGACGCTTACCAGCTGTGTGACCCTAGGCAAGTTTGGCTTTTTGGGACGAGTGCTAAGTCATCCTGTGGTATTGCCTTGCCAAAAAAAAAATTAAAAATAAAAATAAAGAGTGGGGAGGCTTGGACATGTCTGAAAGCAGTAAGGAAGGAACCATTTGATAGAGAGAAATTGAAGATTAGAGAGATGGGATGGGAGAATGATTGAGGAGGCAGTCTCATGGAGGAGACCCCAGGGGATGGGAGCAAGCACACTTGTGGAGGCTTTGGTCCTAGCCAGGAGAAGCATTTGTTAGATACACCCTAGGGAAAAGGAGTAGAGTGTCGGAGATGCCAAGGGGCTTTGGAATGAAGAGAGTGGAAGAAAAGGAAGGTCAGGTCAAATGACCTCAGTTTTTTCAGGAAAGTAAAAGCAAGATCTTTAGCTGGGGTGCGGGTGGGGAGGAGGTGAGCAAGATTTGAGGAAGGAAGAGAAGGCTTGGAATAGCTTTTATAGCTATAATAGCTATTATCCTCATTGAGGAGCACGGCTGCCGAGGCTGAGAGGCCTCAGCTGGGGATATGACGGCTCTCATCTTGCAGGTGGGCTGCAGGCCGTGGCAGAGTTACTGCAGGTGGATTATGAGATGCATAAGATGACCAATGACCCTCTGAACCTAGCCCTGCGGAGATACGCGGGCATGGCCCTCACCAATCTCACCTTTGGCGATGTTGTCAACAAGGTGCGTGTGCGTGCGCATGGGGGGGGTGACGGGGGGGGGTGGGAGGCCAGGGCGGGGGGCGGGCGCCTGCTCCAACCCCCAGCCTGGGACTCCACTACTGAGAGGGGAGTACAAAAGGAGAATTTGGGAGAATTTGGTATCGCCATCATTCTACCCCTGCGAAAGGCTAGGGGCACCCTTGGGACTCCCTCCTGGGTACCACAGGATGACTTAGCACTCGTCCCAAAAAGCCAGCTATGCGACTTTGGGCAAGTCCTTTCCCCTGTCTGAGCCTGAGCTTCCTCATCTGGAGAATAAGGGGCTCCACAGGAGTTGCCCCGAGGCCACATGTGGCCCTCTAGATCCTCAAGTGCGGCCCTTTGACTGAATCCAAACTTCACAGAAATCCTCTTAATAAAAAGATTTGTTCTGTATAACTTGGATTCAATCAAAAGGCTGCAACCAGGACCTAGAAGGCCACACGTGGCCTCCAGGCTGCAGGTTCCCCACCCCTACGTGACTAGATGATCTCTAATGTCTCTGTAACACCTCCAATATTCCACATGTTCATTCACTAAAACGTAAGCTCCCTGAAGGCAGGGACTTATGTTTTTGTCGTTCTATCCCCAGCATCTAACAATGCCTGGAACTTAGTAGACTCAAGTGTTTGCTTGTTGAATTCAATCTCTTGTTGAATTCTATGGCTCTTTCCATCTCTGAAGGCAGCCATCGCTGTGTGGTTTGGAGTTTGGGGTACCTTTCCATGTCCCCTTTTTCCTATAACCCAAATTAGTTCCAAATTACTTAGCCTCTATTTCATAGAGAATGAAACTAAGGCTCAAATAGGGGAGGTCATGTAGAGGTCAATAACAGAGCTAGGACTAGACGCTGGGGTACTCCCCTTGGGGATTGGGGATCTAGGGGACCCTACCCCTGAGGGTGAATTAGAATTCCTGAGTGCACATAGATGACATAAGCCCAAGATAATAGAGGGAGATGCTCTGAGATTGGACTTTCCCTTGATGTCTAAGTAAGATATCCACTGAAACGCCGTTTCCCTTTCATTGGCAGGCCACACTGTGTGCCCGGCGGGGCTGTATGCAGGCCATTGTGGCCCAGTTGGCCTCAGACAGTGAGGAGCTCCACCAGGTAGGTTGGGTAAACTCTCAGAGAGACAGTATGGGCTGGGCCCAGAGCCAGAACCCAACAGAAGGCAATGGGCAGCTGTAGGTATTGTGCATTGGATGTTGTCTAGGCCCACAAGGAGGGTGTTAGCCCAGTGCTAGGCCCTATCCCTGTCCTTAGAACTCTTTTTTGGCCAGGTTTCCAGTTCCCTCTGCACCTTGATCACTCTTCTCTGGAGGTGCTCCAGTTTGTCAATGTTTTTCCTTAAATGGGATATCCAGAACTGAACATAATATTGTAAACTCTTATCAGGGCATTAACTATCAATTCTCAATTATTCTAGATACTGCTCTTATACTTGGATTAACTTTTTTGACTGCCAATTTATATTGTTGACTCATATTAAGCTTGCAGTCCACTTAGATCTCCAAATCTTCTTTTAAAAAATTCTAAATTTAGGAGCCATCAATAAAAACAAACATTTTAATATGTAAGCAAAAATAAAAAAAAACCCACAAACCTTCTAAATTTATTCTCTGTAGTTTTTCTTTTAAAAAGTATAGGCCCCAGGGCTTTTTTTTTTTTAAATCTAAGCTAATTACTCACATCTCTTCCATCTGGTTTCTGTACTGTTCATTTTTTTTTCCTTTAACACCCAAGCCCAGGACTTTAAACTCTTCCCTATCCTTCTCTATCCCTCTCTTCCAGGTGGTGTCCAGCATCCTTCGAAACCTATCCTGGAGGGCAGATATTAACAGCAAGAAGGTCCTACGGGAGGTGGGCAGTATGACTGGACTCATGCAGTGTGCCCTTCGAGCCACCAAGGTGAGCCCCAGACCAGCTAGGTGGCACAGCGGATAGAGTTGTGGGCCTGGAGTCAGGAAGATCTGAGTTCAAATCCAGCTTCAGATACTTACTAGTTACGTGACCCTGGGCAAGTCAATTAACTTCTGTTTGCCTCAGTTTCTTCAACTGTAAAATGGGGCCTACCTTGTAGGGTTGTTATAAGGATCAAATGGGATCATATTTGTAAACCACTTAGCACAGTGCCTAGCACACAGTAGTTGCTATGTAAATGCTTATTCCCATGGTGACTTGTTTGACATGACCTAGCTGCTTCTGCCATCTAGCTCCTGAGCAGTGCTAAAGGTGGTCTGTCCCCACTCCAAGCTTCAAGGGAGTATCCAGGCACTGAGATAAAGGTGAAGAGGAAAAGTTTCCTAACATGAGGACCCCTTTTCAATGACAAAAAAATTCATTCCCCCCCCATCTACACACACACATACACCCATACACCACCCCCCCCAGTAGCTATATTATAAGTATCTGGTGATTGATAAAATAATGTATTTGAATGGATTTGCATTTTGTTGATCACATCAGCATCTCTATATATTTGAAAAAGTCATACTTTATGCATGAAACAGATGGAAAGCAAGTGGATCCCCATTGCCAAACCAATCCTAGGTGTCTCTTTCCAACCCTATCTCATTCACCAGACCATCAAGGTGTTCATTTTTCACAGTGAACATAGGGTACGGTGACTTAAACAAAGTGTGTCTTGGGGGAAGAGGGTCAGTGGGTCATTGAAGGTTGTCCTGACTGTGGTCTCTCTGTCATCTCCCCCTCTAATCTCTGTATCATCACCACTGTCACCCTCTCATGCGTCTAGCTAGTGCTAGAAGTTGTCACGGTTGGAAGAGGCCATCCCAGACCTAAGGCTACAGGCTCTCCCGCCCAGCTGTCTAGGGATGAGCCTCTGTGCACTTAGCAGAGATTCTGTGAAACCTCTTCTGGAATGGGGACCCCTTCTGAGTGACAAAAGGCTCCATTCCTCTTCCTTGCCCCCCAAACCCAGCAGTAGCTATGCTCTGGGTATCTGTTGAGGGAAATACACAATGATAAAAAGCAGCTGTGAATTCTGTGGTGTTTTTGAACAGATGCATATTTTATTAAACACAACAGTGTCGACATACATTTGAGAAATAGGAAAACTCTGAGATGTGTGAGACACATTATTCATCCTGCAGAAGAAATGTGTGCTTGTTTATCATACAGTGACAATGCATGTTTTGTTGGTGCTAATTAAAGGTAAAAAATAAATTAATTTTAAAAAAAGGTAAAAAATAGCAGCACACATGAATGAGCTTGCATATATATACACAAGTGTATGCATATATACATACATATATACATATATACACTACATATCTACACATGTACATATATATACATACCTATATACATACACATACATACATATACATAAAAATCCTTCCCTTGAAATAGATAATGCTGGGGCCTCTACTTTGGAAGCCACTGATATTGTCAAACTTCCTTATTTTGCAGATGAGGAAACTAAGGCTGGGGGGGGAGTACTTGCCCAAGGTCCCCCAGCTAGTTAGTGGTAGAATGGGACAGGGATTCTTGGTCTTCCCTGTCCCTAGCTCCTCCTACTACATCACTCTGACCTCCTGGTTACCATCTAATCCTATCATAACACACACATTTACTAAATACTTTCTATGCTCCAAGTGCGGAGGAATAGTTATAAAGACGCCTGTTAATCCTGTATGTATCTTGTACGTACCTAGTTGTTTACATATCGTGTTCCCTCTCCCCTTCCCTACCATTAAATAAGAGCTTCTTAACGGCAGAGACCAGGCTTTTTGCCTTTCTTTCTGTCCCTAGCACTTAGCCCAGTGCCTGGCACAGAGCAAGCGTTTGATAAATTTCTTGATGATGATGAAGAGAAGAACCACAGGTCTTACCCTCAAGGAGCAATCCTCTCCAGTCATCTCTGTCCCTTCTTTCATTCCTGTTTCTGCCATCTCTAACCTCTTCTTCCATCCCCATGTCTCCAAGTCAAACCTTGTCTTGGATTAGAGAAGACACAAGGTCATACAAAGCAGGAGAGAGGGGAATAGAGCAAGAAAAAGGATAAACAAGAATCCATTCCAGGGAAGTATACCAGCGGTAGGGAAGGAGCCCTTGGTCCCAGGAGTTGGACTGGAGGTTGGCGTGGCTGGGAGCATATAGACTTGGGCGGGAACGAGCTGGTACAGTCTCAGAGGTGGAAGATGGTAGCGCCAGATGAACAGGCAATGACTTCAATTCTCCCCCTCCCAGGAGTCCACACTGAAGAGTGTCCTCAGTGCCCTATGGAACCTGTCGGCCCACAGCACAGAGAACAAGGCCGCCATATGCTTGGTGGATGGAGCCTTGGGCTTCCTAGTCAGCACTCTCACCTATAAGTGTCAGAGTAACTCACTAGCCATCATCGAGAGTGGAGGGGGCATCCTCCGAAATGTGTCCAGCCTCATCGCGACCCGGGAGGACTACAGGTCAGCCAGCTCTCTCCCTCTACTCTTGCTATCCCCTCCATTCCCTATGCTGCCTGGCTCCAAAATTCTAGGACAGTGTGCCATTGCTGGTTTGGAAACTAATGCTAACATTGCTTAGAAACAGTTTTTATTCTCTTAGGTGGGGTTAACCCTTCTCCTAGTTCAGTCTGGTTCCCATTCCACAACAGCCTAGGTGACGTTGTCATAAGACTCTCTGAGCTGAGAGGGACAACTGAGGACAGCTAGCCCAACTCATCCCATAAGTGCACATCTACCAGAATTCTGGCCTCCACATGGAGATTTCTGGCGAGGGGGGTGATCGCTGCCTTCAGAAGCAGACCGTTCTATTTGGGGATAGCTCCAATCGCTAATCTCTCTCCCGGACCCATTGTTCTATGCTGTGGGGCCAAGCAGAAAAGGTCAGACTCCTCTTCCTCCTCCTATTACTACTGCTAGTTCTCATTTAAACAGCTCTTTAAGCTTTACAAAGGGCTTTTCTCGAAGAACACCCTCTTCCCTAAGCCATCCACGAGGTCATCATGGCATCTGGAGATCATCCAGTCCAGTTCCCTTATTTAAAGCACCTGAGGCCCAGAGCCCAAAGTCATAACAGGAACCTGGAAAATTCTGATTCAAACAAATGGGCCTGGGTCATGATTCCAGGAAGGTGGCCTATTTGGAGAGTTCTCTCCAGCCCCCTTGTGGACTCCCCACAAGCCTGAAGCCGGAGGAAGTGTTTCATGGGGGTCCCCTCCCTTATCTCCTCCCTCTAGGCAGGTGCTCCGGGACCACAACTGCCTTCAGACGCTCCTCCAGCACCTGAGGTCCCACAGCCTGACCATCGTGAGTAACGCCTGCGGGACCCTGTGGAACCTGTCAGCTCGTAGTCCCCGAGACCAGGAGCTTCTCTGGGACCTGGGCGCCGTGAGCATGCTGCGGAACCTGATCCACTCCAAGCACAAGATGATAGCGATGGGCAGCGCCGCCGCCCTGCGCAACCTGCTCACCCACCGGCCCCTCAAATACAAGGACACAGCGGCCGTCATCTCCCCGGGCTCCTGCATGCCCAGTCTCTACGTTCGCAAGCAGAAGGCCCTAGAGGCCGAGCTGGATGCCAGGCACCTGGCCGAAGCTCTGGACACGATGGAGAAGCAGAGCCTGAAGGGTCAGGTTGCCAAGAAGCCCCCGCTGCGCCACCTGGACAGTCTGGTCAAGGACTACGCCTCCGATTCCGGCTGTTTTGACGACGAGGATGTGCCCGCCCTAGCCCCCGGGGTGGAGGTGGGTAATCCCTCCGTCCTCTCCATGTTCCTCAACAGTCCCTACCTGCAGGGCCAAGCCTTGCCCCGCATGTCGGCCCCACGCCGAGGCCTCGAAGCAGAGAAGGAGGATGGCAGCAGCGGCAGAGGCAGTATGGATGCCAAGAAAGGGGTGATGGATGGGACGGCGGCGGCAGCCGAGAAACTGGCCACCAAACTCTCTGTGGCCGTGGCCAAGATTGATAAACTGGTGGAGGACATCTCAGCCCTGCATACCTCCTCGGAGGACAGCTTCAGCCTCAGCTCGGGTGACCACGGGCTGGACTGGCCCTCGGGGCCGGGGGAGATCCGGGAGGCCAGGGCTCAGTCGTGCTCACCCTGCCGGCTGCCTGAGGCAGGGAGGAGGGAAGGGGTAGGGAGGGCCCACCCGCTCCTCAGGCTGAAGGCGGCTTACACCAGCCTGTCCAATGACAGCTTGAACAGCAGCAGTACCAGTGATGGCTACTGCCCCCGAGAACACATGAATCCCTCCCCAAGGGCCTCGTTTGCCGGCTACCGAGAGGAACTTCAGAGATACCAGCAGCGCCCTAGCCGGCTGGACCTCAAGAACATCGTGGCTACCCAGCCAGACAGGAGAGAGCCCCCATCTCAGGAGTCCACTGTCCCCCAGGGGCCAGAAACCCAGGATGGGCTGCAGAAGTCATCCATATTCCCTGGGGAGTGGGCCCTAAGAAAGGAGTCAGAGTGGCCCAAAGACACGGAGGGCAAGCTTGCCGCTGATTCCCACGTGCACACCATCAAACTCTCGCCCTCATATCAGCACGTGCCTCTGCTGGAGGGTATGGCCAAGGTCGGTGCTGTTCCCTTTCCCAGCAACGGGGGCGGTCCAACAGCCAGGAAGCAGGCCTGGCTGCCCACAGGGACCCTGAAAGGCACTGAGGGCCTGAGCAGGATCCCTGAGAAGCTGCCAGCCCCAGCCCCACCTGCTCCGGCAGCAGAAACCTTACAGAAGTATTCCGTGGAGGACACACCCATCTGCTTCTCCCGATGCAGCTCCCTCTCCTCCCTCTCCTCAGCTGAGCATGGCGTGGATGGGAGAAGCCGCAGTGAAGACAATGAGCTGGACAGCGACTCTTCCCTGGAGATCCTGGAAGAGCCCGGGCCCGGGGAGGGAGAGGACGACGGGGTGGAGGATTGGAGGCCCCGTGGGACTGCCTCCCTGCCTGTGGCCATCCCCGCCCCACGGGGCGACCAGGCTTTCTTGTCCCAGGCCCAGGGGGATGAGGGCGCCTCCCCCTCCCGACAAGAAGACATGACACCCTCCAGCTCCTCCGAGAACTACATCCAGGAGACCCCCCTCGTCATGAGCCGCTGCAGCTCCGTCAGCTCCCTGGGCAGCTTTGAGAGCCCCTCCATTGCCAGCTCGATCCAGAGTGACCCCTGCAGTGAGATGGTGAGTGGCACCGTGAGCCCCAGTGAGCTTCCCGACAGCCCAGGGCAGACCATGCCCCCCAGCCGGAGCAAGACCCCCCTCCCAGAACGGGAGACCAGCCAGTTCAACTTGCAATGGGAGAACAACGTCAAGAAGTTCATGGACATCACCGACTTCAAGGAGCGCTTCCAGCTGCCCCCAGACCTCGACAGCACCATCTACTTCACCGTGGAGAAGCCGGACGAGAACTTCTCCTGCGCCTCCAGCCTCAGCGCGCTGCCCCTCCACGAGCACTACGTGCAGAAGGACGTGGAGCTCAAGCTCTTGCCCCCTTTCCCTGAGCGCGGAGGCGGACTTCACTTCGCGGGCCACGAAAAGCGGGAGGAGCCTGGGCGGGAGGAGCGGGCGGAAGGACCCCGCGGGAGCCGGCCCCGCCTGGAGACCCACTCCGAGGATGACCTGGAGATCCTGAAGGAATGTATCAGCTCGGCCATGCCCTCTCGCTTCCGGAAGGTCAAGACAGCCCTAGTGCCGGGCTTGCCTGCAGGCAAGAAGGGACTGCATGTGCCTGTCTACATGCTGGTGCCTGCACATGCCCATGCCAGCATGGCAGCCAGGGCCCCTCGGCCTTCCCGCAGCCCGTATAAAGATGAGGATTCCTTCACGGACTCAGCCGAAGGCACACCAGTCAACTTCTCCAGCGCCACCTCACTCAGTGATGAGACCCTTCAGTATCCGCCCAAGGACAGCCAGGGGCAGCGGGCTGAGAGGAGGGAGCCCATCTCTCGGCGGGTCACCTCCAGCCATTCTACCCCAACCAAGATGGTGGCTGCCTACAAGCACAGAGCAGGAGGGGCCTGCCTCCCAGTATCAAGCAGGGGCAATGAGCCCATCCGAGGCTCTCTCAAGAACCTGCCCAACCTAGAACTGACCATTAGCCGGCCCAGGAGTGCCCACTCTGAAAGGGATAGCCGTCCCAGAGGGGACAGTGCACATCCAAATGGGGGTCACGGGGATGTTGCCTTCCAGTCTCTGTGTCACACTACGCCCACTGAAGAGGCAGTTTACTGTTTCTATGAGAATGATTCCGATGATGCTCCCGAGGCCCCAGCCCGGAAGGCACCAGCAGGAGCCCGGGCTCCAAAGAAGGAGCATCGGGCTGGCAAGAAAGAAACGGAGCCCAAGCCCAAAGTGGTGCCACCATCCTCCGTGCAGCCCCGAGCGCCTGCCAAATCCCAACACAAACTGATTGCAGATGAGACACCACCCTGCTACTCCTTAAGCTCTTCAGTGAGTTCGCTCAGTGACCTGGACCTTTCAGAGAGGGATGGTGGGCAGCCACATGGCAAAGGGGGCCTGCCCCACCTTCAGACCCGAAAGCCTGTACATACCAAGCCCCCACTACCAGCTCCTGGTCGGGACAATTCTCCCAGCTCCCCGAGTCTCAACTCAGATGAAGATCTGCTACAAAGGTGTATTGGCTCAGCCATGCCAAAGAGACAGCGCCACACAGCCCGGCACCGAAAGACCGAGCGAAAGCCCAAGCAACCGGTCCCCCAGGCAGCGGGCAGCAAGGAGCGAAAGGCTGAGTTACGGAAGGAGCTAGGCGAGGAGGTGAGCTCAGACCGCGCCTCAGACCTGGACAGTGTGGAGTGGCAAGCTATTCAAGATGGTGCCAATTCCATTGTGACATGGTTGCACCAGGCAGCAGCAGCCGCAACATCCTTCTCCAGGGAGCCCTCATCTGAATCTGACTCTATCCTCTCCTTTGTGTCTGGTCTGTCAGTGGGGTCCACCCTGCAGCTTACCCTTGGAAGGGAAGAGCAGAAGCGAAGGGGGAAGGAAACTGGAGGAGAGGTGGAAAAGAAGGAACAAAATAAGACTGCTGATGAGTGCAAGAAAGGAGGGGAGACCCGGACCCTCAACCGCCGCATGTTGCGGGGCCCAGAAAAGCCAGCCAGTGCCCAGAAACCCGTGTCCAATCTTCCAGCAGTGTTCCGGGGTCGAACAGTCATCTACATGCCCACCCTGGCCAAGGGGACCCCCAAGCCTCGATCCCCTCCAAAGAAAACTGTGCCCAAGACTGAGCCCCCCACCAAACCCCTCACTCTCAGTCAGCAGAGGTCCCGGAGCCTCCACCGGCCAGGGAAAATGTCAGAGATGGCTGAATTGATGCTACCCAAGAGGAGTGCCACACCCCCTGCCCGGATGGCTAAGACCCCATCCTCTGGCTCTTCCCAAACCTCCACCCCATCCCAGCCACCATCCAAGAAGTCCCCGCCCTCTTCCCAGATAAGCAAGCCAGTGCCAGCAACTGGGAGTAAAGTGGGCACCAACAGCCCTCAGGCCAGGGCTCCGGTGAAGGCTCTAATCTCCAGACAGCACAAAACCCAGAAATCTCCTGTCCGGATTCCATTCATGCAGAAGCCAGTGAGGAAGACGTTCCCAGTGAGGAACAACCAGCCTGTCCCCGAGGAGCAGGGTGCTGGAAGAAAGGCAGGTGGAAGGCTCAATCTGGTTCGTGTGGCCTCAACCCGGTCCAGTGGCAGTGAGTCTGACCGCTCTGGCTTCCTGCGACAGCTGACCTTCATCAAGGAGTCTTCCAACCTCCTCCTGCGACACCGCTCTGAGGCCACAGCTCCCCTTCCCCAGAACAACTCGCCACGCCGAAGTCGGACCAGCGTCCCTGCTGTCTTCCTCTGTTCTTCTCGTTGTGAAGAGCTCAAAGCGGCCAAAGCCGGGCCCCAGCCTAGTCCCAGAGCCTCACCAGGGGAGCGCCTACCACACCGGACCAGCTCAGAGAGTCCTTCCCGCTTACCTGTCAAGATAGCTACTCCCCCACCTGAACCATTCAAACGCTATTCCTCATCCCCCCACATCAACGTTGTCAAGAGGTCTGGCAGTCCAGCCCCAACCCTTCCACAAGGGGCTGAGGCTGGGGGTGGGCGGCGGAGGAGTGATGGAGAGGCCAAGCCTCTCCCTCAGGTCAGTGCAGGGGAGGGCCATGATGCCCAGTCAACAGCCGCCAAGGGTACATGGCGGAGGATTCGGGACGAAGACATACCCCACATCCTGAAGAGCACGCTCCCCTCCACCGCCCTGCCTCTTGTTGGCACGGTCCAAGAAGAAAGTCCAGGTCCCCAAAGGAAGACCAGTGATGCTGTGGTCCAGACAGAAGACTTCTCAGCCTCTAAAACCAACTCCAGCACCTCACCAACCCTGGAGAACCGGGAGCCACCCAAGCATGCAGGTAGTGTCCCAGTCAGCGGCGTGCAGGCCCCCTTCATTGGCAGTGACGTGGATGGGCTGAGCTCCAAGGTGACTGCTGCCATCTCCTTCGCCCACGAGGGGCTGATGGCCCCAGCTGGAGGCTTCCCCTCCAGCCGCCACAGCTCCCCCAGCCGGGCTGCCCGAGTTACCCCCTTCAATTACATCCCCAGTCCCATGGTGGTGCCAGCTATGACCGACAAAGCCGTGGAGAAAGCTATCAGCCTCCAGGGTGAATAGAACCTCATCTGGCCTCTCTCCACCTCTCCCTGTCTCAACCCCTCCAGTCCTAGCCTGCTTAGGCCTCCCTACACTAAGACCCTCATGGCAGCAAGCTGCACTCTTGTGGAAGATGCCCGTGTACAAAGAACTAGTTCAAGAAGCTGCTTTCTTATTTCATACTCAGCCAAGTACAAGAGAAATTAGCTTTCAAAGATGAGTGGCTTGAACCTGGGGATGGAGACTGGTCCACTAATCAGTAAGTCTCAGAACTGGAATTGCTGGCCTCATGTCTGATGAGGGTTTCCTCCTTCCTCTGTCTCTGGTCACAGCCCTGTTGCCAGAAAACTTTCCTTCCTGGAAGGTGGAAATAATGGATGATTTTTTTTTTTTTTTTTTTTTTTACCCACAAGGCCTGGAGCACTGTGGGGAAGAGTCCAAATCTGGATATGGGAGAGTTCCCCTTCTCTAACATATGGTGATGTCATTTAGGGGTTCTTCCTCCACCATGAGGGGAGAGACTTTACTTGGGAAGGAATAGATGGTGGAAGTAGGTACGGGAGCTGGCATAGAGAAGAGACTAATGCTTTGGAACAGGAAAAAAACAATGGGAGGATAGCAGTTGGAGGAGACACCCCCTGGGCCCAGGGAGAGAGGGGTGTCTGAGGAAAGCCCAGAAAGCTGGGGGCAAGGAGCATGCTCAATGATCTTCTTCTGGGCAAGAGACTGTTCACCAGCATGCTGCCCTCTGGCACATCAGCAGCTCTGTGCCCCAAACAGAACAAGACCCCTGGCTGGGACCGCTGCCTCCCCATGCCCAAGTGAAAAGCCACCTTCTAGCCAAGCCTTAATGCAGATCTTTCTGCTGCATGCTTTATCTTGTATACCCAGCACTAATAACCAGTTATAAACATCATATAGATGAATTACAGCTTGTCAACACCATGGGAAGCCCAGGAAGGAGACTTCTAGATAGGGGGAAGCCCTGGGGAGGGCCAGAGAGGGAGCAGGCATAGAACCCACCAGATGCAGAAGAGCTGTTGGTGGCAGGGCCAAATGCCTGTAATTAATGCCACCCAGTAATTCAGTAATGACTAATTTGCTGAGTTTTGTCTGTGTTATGTAAACCAGCTTGGGGATGGGGCTGAGAGGGATCTGAGACAATGAGAGAACTGCACCTTATTTAATAAGAGGTGAGAGGGTTACCCCAGAAGCCCAGGGCTGACTGATACCACTTCCTTGATGTCCCTAGGTAGGCCTGACCAATGAGAACTGGAGGGAGTGGAAGGATAGGAAAGAAAACAGATGCATATTAGTTTTGCCACTCCGGCTTTGATCTCTTTTTCCCTGGGCAGCTGCTTTTAGAACAAAAAACTACAGATGGTTCTTTCCTCTCCCTTAGCTAGCGTGCACAGGCTCACCTCCAGGGTCAGGAGATGACTCTGACACAGGGAGGATTGCAGTGTCCCTGGCAGGAAGTCAAGACTTTAAGAAACACCCAGAGTAAAGGTGATTGTGCTTTTAGCAGGTGGAATGGCACTATGATCCAGAGCTGTTGGAACAGAATTTGAAGGCACTTCTTGAGGAGAGGGGATAGGCTTACCAGTACTGAGCCATCCATAATCTCTTGCCTAGTCCCCAACATGGCCTGTTGCTGAGATAGCTAGCTGGGTGGAGGAAGATCCATCTGTGGCTAGAAAACTAACAGGATGGTCAAGCACCCTCCTTAGCACTCGCCACATGCTAACTGGTGAACTGACCAGCCACTGGGCCCTCTCAGAAACTGAGCCACGGGAGGGACCAAAGAATACAGAGTATGGATGGCAGAAAAAGGAGAAACAGAGAGGAGAGGCCCAGACAGGGAAAGTGAGGGTCTGGTGAGCTGCTTCGAGAGCAAGTTCTTTCTGTTGTAAAAGCGCACTTTAAAAGGATTGCAGAGAGCAGAGCCAACTGTGATAGTTTTGGGGATGTGGGGGTATGGAACCATCTGTTTGGTTGTTTGTTTTTTTTTAATGACTTTTTGTGAAAAATACAAAATTGCAGGAGTCTCCCAGCAGGTTACTTTAGGGAAGGAGGTAACACCCCTTGAGGTGACCCAGTGTTTTCTCTAGGAAGTAAAATTTGAGTTTCACAGACGTGGGGGGAGACAAGCTGCCTCTTGGACTTTGGCTAAGCCAAGCCTCTGGAAAGAATGTCCTGATAAGGCCAGAGAACTATTGGTTTCTATTGGGCCCTAGAGGGCAGATCTAAGAGACACGTGGAAGACTTTGAGTTTGGTGTATGAGGAAGCATTTTCTAACATTTAGAACTGTCCAGAAGTGAAGTGACCCGCCTTGCAAGGTGGTGGGGTTTCCCATCACTGGAATTCTTCAAGAAGAGGTTAGATGACCACCTATCAAGGAAGCAATAGAGGAGATTCCTTTTTAAGCTATGGGTTAGACTGTATCAAGTCTGAAGTCCTTTGTAGCTGATATTCTGTGAAACAGATGTGAAGGGTCAAACAATTAGCCGAACTACTGAGGACGTAATCTCCCCGTGTGGCTAGCTTCGGTTTGCTACTGGGCTGAAGGTCCAGGGTAGAGAGGAAAGAAATCAGGATCAGAGATATCAACCTATACTGTGCCATATGATGGATGTGAGGAGGGTCAGGAGCAGGAGAGGGAAGAAGGCAGAGAATGAAAGCGACAGAAGACGTTTGGCTGATTTTGCTAACTGAACTGTGGCTTTGTATGGGGGTGACTCACCCACTGGGAACTGGACTGAGGCCACAACTTACTTCCTACAGATGCCACGGAACAGCTAACAATCAGTGAACTCTGGCCCACATTAATCATGGGATGACTGAATTCTTCTTGAGCCAGACTGTACATTCATCCCTCTCTCTGTCTGTCTCCTCCTTGGCTTTGAAAAAGCTTGATCTGTCTGCTCATTGTGTATTCCGGGAGGTAGGGCTCCTTGAAGAAACACCTTCAAATATTTCAGTCTAGAGCCCCTGTTGGAAGGACAATGCGTCCTTAGTCACTCAAGTTTAGTCTAGGAACTAGAGTGTTTCCAGTCGAAGTATTTCCATTGGAAAGAGCCAGTAACCTCTTTCCCAGTGGAACCCTGGGTTCCAGAAACAGCTGCTCTTTGCAAAACTGTTTTCCAGCTGTTTTTGCAAAGAACCACTCCTCATAGAGCACAATGTAGACTCAATCTGTGTGAGACCTAGGGCAAGTCCTTTCTTGCCTCCTAGTTTCAATTACCTCTGTAAAATGAGGGGGTTGGACTAGATGATTTCTAGGGTTCCTTTTGGCTTGAATGTTTTGTGATTCTGGGGAGAAAAGAATACATTGAGCAAATAGGTCGATAACCATTAGGCAAGTAGTAGGGCATATGGATTCAATTCATTCTATTAACCCTGGTCCTCTGGGGGAAGGGAAATAGCCTCCCATTGGACTTGATCCATAACAGGTCCTTATTTGACAAGTCCACAAAAGGAAAATTTAAATTCAAAAGCTTGGAAAACTCATCCCACTCCTCTTTCTTGCTGACACCTCTTCAGTCATCCTATGGCAGGCCACTCAGCCAAATTCATTTGTGGCCACCATTTCAAGGGACTATATGACAAAATCAACTGCTGGGAGCCTTGGGACTGTACTTTAAAAGCCATCTCCTAGCCTGGAGCTAATCATATTTGGGAGCTCCATCTCCCACATCTCATACGGAGAGTTGAGTCATTATTCTCTTTTGCCAGGAAGGCTGCTATTAAGGGAGGAGCCAACTCTAAAAGGCTGTAATAGACCCAGAGTTGACCCAATTCACATGGATTTGTGGGGTAGCTCCCACTGGAGATTCCCCCCCCAGTGTCAATATTACAAGGAGATTTGACATGTGTATCTGCAACCTATATGTGGAATTGGAACCAAAACACAAGGAATGATTTCATCCTCATTTTCCTTTCGCACAACACTGAATGCTTCGGCCTTGTAGGAATAAGAGGAGGGGATACTTCCACAGGGATCCTCCAAGTCTGGCCCCTGAAATTAGGGGCTGTTCTCCAAAGATGCTTCCGGTTCTGTGTCTCCCTTTTAACAGAAAGAATATGGTGAAGTGACAGGCTTGTTCCCCATTCAGCAAGGACAAGACAGCTGGGTGTGTAGAACCTGTCCTACGCAATCTGTAGCCAGAGATTAAAGCAAATATGGTGGAAAGAGGAAGCCTGGTTTTAGTGAACGTTAGAGCTAATGTTCAGCTGGTCATCAGACACTCACCTGTTATTGGCTGTAACATTCAAATACAAGATGTGTTTGAGACTGAAAATACGTCCTGGAAAGTTTGCAGACTGAAAAAGGTGGAGAGATGCTGTTAGACTGTTCTCAGTCTAATAGGCAAACTCTAGATGGGAACAAGATGGCGTATCAGGTGCTCACAGCGGGCAGTTACCCCAACCCACAACCTTTTGTCCTTCTAGGAAAGACATTATGAGGTTCTGGAGGAGGGGACTCAGCCCAGAGGTCAGAGCTGGGCCTGACCACCCCCCTCCACCAACTGGCTAGGTGATCTGGGCAGGCTGCTTCCCCAACCTGTGAAATGGGGAGAACCTCCACCAGATCTACCTCCCAAGGGAGTGAGAATCAGCTGAGCTGCTGGACACACGATGGGGTGTTGGGAGAGCCACACAGGATGGTATTATTCCATAGCGTAACTGGTGCTACACTGCCGGGCGTGCATTTGGTTCTAGCTCTTCTGAGCAAAGGCTTAGGAACCTTCTGCTTCCTGTCACTTGTGCTAACTTGTCCTAGGAGCTGCACCGAAGCCAGTCAGGACACAGCCCCTACCTTCCCAGCCTCAGGGGCTTGGTGACCAACCTGAAAGTCCAGGCACTCATGGAAACCATCAGGGGCGAATCCGGACAATTCAAGCTGTCTTGGGAGTGTGCTGATACGGAAGCGCAGGCACTGCTCCCTCATTGGGGTCAGAGGAACAGTTTCCTAGTCTCTGTGTTCGATCTACACTTTATGTGCCCTACAGAGGCAGGTGCCCAAAACAGGGCTGAAGCTTTGAGAACATCTGCACAGCCAGGCCTCCCCAAGCTAGCTGCCTGCCCCACCCAGCCCCAGGACTTTGCCAACCGCAGTGACAGGCTCAGTTGCCTCCCCTCCTTCGCCCTCATCCTTTCACACCACATCAGCTTTGTTCACAGCATCCTCCAGCCAGTGGGGGGAAGTGGAGGGCAGGGAGTGTCACAGACACACTATGGTTTCCTGGGGTAGAGAAGAGGGCAGTTTGTGGTAATTGAACAATTGATATCCATACACCTGTCAACCAGGGCCAGAGGAACCAAATTGTCATATGCCAAACACAGCTATCACTTAAAGCCTTTATCCCATCGTAGGGATGCTCTCTGTACCACTCAGCTGTTAACCTGGTTCGCTCCTTTATGCTCTCAGTGTGAGAGTGGATATGTATGTATTCCTGCTTAAGCGCCGCCATCACCAAGGGATCTGAACTGGGGACTCAGAGAGGCAGGAATCTTGCATCGTCAGAAGTGATCGATTCTATCGGGCAAGTCTTCACCAAAGTTCAACACTTCTACCATCTTCCCCCTGTGTATCTGCTGTTGGTGGAGTGACCAGCCCAAAGGGGAAGGACTTAACCTTCGGGAGAAATGACCCTTGGGGTGGCCACAATGGAGGCCTAACATCAGCCTGCTTTTTCACCAGCTGCTCAGGAGCTGCTGTGCTATGCCTGACAGTACTGCCTGATCAGCAAAGTTTAAGAACAACAGCCCCCCTCCAATCTATTCCCAGCAGGGTACTAGATTTAGGGCATCACACACATATCTTCCTGAAGCAACAGGAGCGGATACCATTACCTCACACCTCTAATCTGTCACCTTGTCCATTCAGCATGTACGTACCACCCCAGTTCTTCACCACAGACCCTAGTTCTGTTCTCATCCAGTTTGTGTGATGATCCCTTTCAGCCCCCAGAAGAAAGCTGCCTTTGCCCATCTCATTAAACTGGTTTCTAGCCCATCCTCTCCAGTCTACTCACTTCCTGCTCCCCCTCACCTCCCTAGCATCTGCACCGAGGGTCATTTTACTGGGACTCTGGACAGTATTAAAATGAAGCATGTAAATATTAAGTGTTCCCCCCTCCTCCTTTTCTTTTTTTTTCCCACTAAAATAAAACAGAGCCATTTGTCTGGTTCAAAGGTGAGACGGGAAGATCAGGCAATTGACTTGTAGGGCACCTTTAGCATCTTCACTTAATAAACTAAGCTGTTGAATTGCCTCCTGGGACTGGACCAGGTTTCATTTCTTTTCTTTCCATGTGGGAGGGTGAATCTCAACTCCTGGGAAAACTGGTGGAATTTATAATAAAGGGTGAGATCATTGAACACGTGCAAACATAACTCTATCCTCTAAGAGGAAAGGGGACTTACTTATTCTACTAGAGGGGAGGGATCAATTAAGTGGACAAAGGGGAAACCAGATGATGTCATTTGAAATCAGGAGAAGTTCAATCAGCTTCCAGCTCTGACACCTTCCAGTCATGTAGCCTTGGACAAGCCCCTCGAGGTCTGTGCACCCCACTTTGGAGGGTGCTACCTCTGTCTTCATGTAGTCCCTCACTCAGAAAAGGTTCCAACAAATTCATAGATCCATAATGGTTATTAAAGGGGGTAGGATTCAACAAGTCTTTGTCTATTACACAGGACATACAAGGCACTATATTCCATAAATTTCTGAGGTTAGTGCTATGGAGCCAACCATTCCCTTCCATATCCCAGATCATGGAAGCCCTCGGTGCCAGACTGAACCTGGCCCTACAGCCCCTCTGAGGATAAAAAGCTGGTGGTCACAGGGCTTAAAACTGGAAGAGACTCCAAAAACCAACTGGGGAAAGCTGCTAGTCCTAGAAAGCAGGAATTTTGATACCTTTAGAAAAAGTCAGGAATATACGTTGTACAAAGCCTAGCTGCTGTGGAAAACCTCTTACACCAGAAATAAAAGATTTTACAGCTGGAAGGGTAACCTTAGGAAGGAAATAAGTAGCCATTAAGTGCCTACTATGTGTCAGGCACTACACTAAGCCCTTTACAAATATCTCATTTGCTCTTTCTCAACAAGCCTGGGAGGCAGATGCTTGCCTCAGGTCTCTCCCCACTGCAATCCAACCTCCATTCATCCCCAGTCTGATCACGTCATACAACTCCCCCTCCCCAACCCTACCACCCACCCTCAACTCAGTAAACTCCAGTAATTTCCTGTTGCCTCCAGGATCAAATACAAAATGCACTGGCGTTCAAAGCCCTTCATAATCTAGCCCCCTCCCACCTTTCCAGTCTTTCATTTTACTCCCAGACACATAATCTCCAATCCAGTGACCCTGGCGTCCTGGTTCCACAAATAAGACACTCCATCTCTTGGCTCCGGGCATTTTTTCTGGTTATCCCCCATGTCTGGAACCCCCTTCCCCCTCTGCTCTAATTACTGACCTCCCTGATTTCCTTTTAAATCCGAACTAAAAACCGCAACTTATATAGGATGCCTTTCCTGACCTCTCTCAATTCTAGTCTTCCCTCTGTTAATTACTATTTATCCTGAATATAGTTTGCTTTTTATATATTCGTTTGCATATTGTCTCTCATTAGATTGTGGGCTCCTTGAGGGCAGGGACTGTCTTTTGCCTCTTTTTATATCTTCAGAACTTAGCACAGTCCCTGGCAAATAATGGGTATTTAATAAATGTTTATCGATTTGTTATTATTTCCATTTTACAACTGAGGAAACTGAGGCAAACAGGTTAAATGAATTGCCCAGGATCACACAGTTAGTGTCTGAGGGCATATTTGAATTCTGGTCTTCCTGACTCTAGGCCCAATGCTCTATCCACTTTGCCACCTAACTTAGTCCTGTTCCCCATTTTATCAACGGAATTGTGGCCCATACAGGTTAAGTGATTAGCTCAATAATTTGAACACAGGTCTTCTGAGGTAGCTAGTTGGAGCAGTGGACAGGCTCTGGGCTGAGAGTCTAGAAGACCTGAGTTTAAATCCAGCCTCAGACACTTACTAGCTGTGTGACCCTGGACAAGTCAATTAACCTCTACTTGCCTCAATTTCCTCAACTGTAAAAGGGGCATTGTAATAGCACCTATGTCTCAAGGTTGTTGTGAAGATCAAATGAGATGATCTTTATAAAGTGCCTGACACATAGTAGGTGCTTAATAAATGCTTGTTCTCTTCCCAATCCAACCTCTCCACTCTACTTTACCACCTTATGCATTCCCCATCACATAGTCTCTGTTTTTTTCAAACCGGGGAACTTGCTGTCTCCCTGTACCTTTCCACCTCTCCTTCTCTTCCCTCTGCGAGACGCTTCCCTTACTTCTTGTCATACCCAGAAAGCCTTCCCTGAGCCCCCAGGTCCTTCCCTCAGGCTGGAAATAATCTTGCCCCTTCTCATCTTGGCCCTTCACACTCCTCTTAAAGACTTAGGAAGGCAACACAGCATGATGGAAAGAGCACTGGTCTAAGAATCAAAAGAGCCAGAATCAAGTCCTGGCTTAGCCACTCACTACCTGTGCGATCATGAACAAGTTACACACTCTCTAGAAGCCTCAGTTTTCTCATCTGTAAAATGAAAATAATAGACCGTTTTCCTCACAGGGTCATGAGAAACCACTTTGTAAACCTTAACTCACTATACAGCTTCGAGTTATTACATCAGTTATATCTGGGCTTATCAATACTCCTACAAAACCAGTTTCATTTATCCAGCATTCCCTCCATTCCCATCAGAGTCAACAACATGCTTAACCAAATGCTTGTTGAATGAAAATCGAATTCAAAATACCGCTTTGCACTAGAGTGGAGGTATGGCACCTCCTCTCTTGGTCCAACAAGATTCAGAGTACTTCTTTTCACTTGCTAATTCACAGGTCAATTCATCTTGGGCTCCTTAGGGACCATGGTTTCAGGCAAAGCATTCATTTGAACTGAATTAATTTTGTTTCAAAGAAACAACTGAGAAGTCCCAGTTACAAAGAGAAGGGTTTCTATTCATGTGCAGTTCAGAGAGTTCTAAATGATAAGCATCAAAATGGCCCTGGGGCTCTGGATCATCCCTTCACAAGCCATTTTATTATCATTTATTTTAAAGAAGATGAAAAGGAATTTTCAGGTGTACCCTACAAAAAAAGGGCAAGATGAAGGAGGAGAGATGGTGAGTTTTTAACTATTCACTGGCCCTGAGGTTATATCGGAGAGAAATCTCTGATGTTTTAGCTGTTAAAGTTGATCCCAAATTCCAGCTGCTGCCTTCCAGGAGGAGAAGCAGACAGTGAACTCCAGGCTACATTCCAGATTTTCAAAGAGGGTAAAAAGCATTCATTAGACCTGAAATCAGAAACCTGATGTTAAAGTCCAGCTCTGACACTTGCTGGCTCTGTTACCACAAGCAAGTCACTTAACCTCACTTGGCCTCGTTTTCCTCATCTATAAAATAGGGACAAAAATACCTAACTACTTACCTCAGAGCTGCTTTGAGAAAGCACTTTTTGGGAAGAGTACATTGTACATAGTAGGCACTTAAAAAGTTTGTTGAATCAGTGTTTTGATGAATAGGTGCTGAGGCACTGTGGTGCATGTTGAGATGACAGAATTTGGAGCCACAGGTCTGAATCAATCCTAGTTCTCATCTGTAAAAGGAAAGGGGTTAGAAGAAGTGACTTCTAAAATATCTCCCTATTCTAGATCCATCATCCTCTAAACTGAATGTCTAAGCATTAAGTGCAAATTCACTGGGGGCAGTTGTTGAAAACAAGAGACTGAGTCAACTCTCTGTGCAAGCTACAACCCCTCCATGACAGGGAAAATCAGTATGAAAATCTTCCTCAATCTCCTCCTGGCCTTCAGGGGGTAGGGCCTGAGGAAAAGAGAAGGCCAGGCCAGTGTTTGGACAATTTCACTTTAATGGGGGGCGATGAAATCAACAAAACCAACAGAAGCCAGTATGCAGAGAAATGACTAGTCAAAGTTTTAAAAAGTAAAAGGCATGGATTTAATAGGACTTTGAGGCCCATGTATAGAGAAACAGGAGAGATTGGGAAGAGGCTGTGCTGACAGCACCAGATGACATTTTGGGGAGCTGTGATAATTAAGTGAATGCGTTCCAGCAGCCAGCATTCTTCTCTGGTGATCTGGCAGTGTCTCTCAGAAGAATCATCCTTGGAGATAATGTCTTCATTGCCCTACCTTCATCATGTTCCAAGTGGACTTAGTCCTCAGTTCCATGGTCTGTTCTAGATACCCTTACGCACTCAAATTTGTCCAGGTCAATCTTGACCTTCCCAGGTGACCCCAATGGTTGTGTGTAACAACTGGCTTCAGTTCCTGATAGTACGTGTGAAGCTCTGTGGGGCCTTCTTGTCCTCCTTACAGGGCCAGAGGTAGATGTCATACTGCAATATTCCTCCACTCCTCCCCCAAATGGGGACGGGGCCTCAAGTCTGAAGGGGCAGGTGGGCTGAAGGAGAGAAAAGGGTGGAGGAAAACCCAGGGGGCCAGAACTGGCAGGCAAACCTTAGAAAAGCAGCTTCCAGAAAAGCTTGTGTCTCTGCAGACACAGAGGTCCTGAATTTCACTTCCAAAAACAAATCAAAAAGCATGACATCAACCTGAGCAGCCCACACCAGGATTACAGCTAGAACCCTGTGCATCAGAGACGGTCCTCTGCTTCATCTCTAGGATGTCTTCCTCAAGGCTGTCCCCAGACTGCCGCAGCTCCTCACACTTCTGTTTCAGCAGGCCACAGGCCAGCTGGAGCCGATGGTTCAGGGCCACATAGGAGCGACTCTGTTGGTACTGCCGTTCCCTTTCTGCCTCTGGGTCCTCATTCTCCTGAATGGCAGGAAGCTCTGAGAAGGAAAAGGGAAGGAAGGAGAAAAAAAGAACACAAGTCCAGTTGCCTCTCAACTACTTGTATATTGGAAATGGGCAGAGTATAATACCAATCTGTGAATAAAAACTATTCCTATGTCTTTAGCTCTGGAATGTGTCATCTGGAAGGCCCTTATAATTACGGAATGTTAAAGCCAGGAGGAACCTTAGAATCCAGAATGCCACAGTTGGGGGGGGGCCTTAGAACCCACAATGTCAGAGCTGGGAGGTTCCTTAGAACCCAGAATATTAAAGCTGGGGAGAGTCTTTAGAACAGAGAACACAGAATGGTATAGTAGAAAGGACCTAAGGACACTGAATGACACAGCTGGAGACTTTGGAGATCATTCAGTACAACCTCATTTTATAAACAGGGAAATTAAGCTCCTCGATCTTATGGATCTTATGGAGATCAGTTTGATATGAGGAATAAGATATGTACAACTACAGCAGTAGGCACAATGTGATACAGTCAACTGAACAATAAAATGGGAGTCAGGGCTGGATTCAAGGTCCAATTCTACCCCTTAATAGCTGCCTGACTCTGTGCAAATCACCTCCCCTCTCTGAATCTGCTTCCTCATCTATAAAATGAAGATATTATCTGCACTCTCTACATCACTGGGGGGCTATGAGGAAAGTGCTCTAGAAATGGGAATTGACTATTATCTTCAAAACCACAGATTTCACCGCCCCATAAGTATTTAACTAAAGTGGATATTTAAATGAGTCTGTTTTTTTTTCTCAGAAGTCAAATAACAGAAGTGAGTAAGCAGGATGCTAGAGAGCAGGGGGAAACTAGCATGGGATTAATAAAGATATATATATATATATGTACAATATATGTAAACATAAACATGTATGCACACATGCAAAGAAACGGACAAATCACAAAGTAGATAACTGGATAGTAAAAGTTGGCCAAACTACTAAGCTGATACCATTCAACTGGAACGTTCAGATACTCCCAGGATCAAGCTAGGCTGCAAATAACAGGGTTGCAGGAATGATGGGGACTTACATTACCTTCCATGGCTTGTGGGGCAAAGGAGGTGAAAACTGGATCAGAGGGCAGAGCACCATGGACATCCTCCAGGATCTGTTCAACTGTGGGCGGAGATGGTCTTGTGGGGAGGACCACTCGCTTTCTGGCCTTAGAGGTCATTAGGAAGAAGGCTGAGGTAGAAATCGAGATAAGAAATTAGGGGAAACTGCACAGGGAGTAAGAAAATAGAGAAAGAGAACAGGGTGGGAGGGAAGGAGAAGTGGAACAGCAGAGAGAATCACAGGAGAATTGAATCCACTAAGAGATCCATGATCTGGAACCTCGGGCGGGCCATCACATTTGGTGCCAGACTGCATGGTAGTCGTTTTCCCCATCCTGGACTTCCTATGAGGCAACATTAGATAGTAGAAAAAGTCCTGGGCTTGAAATCAGAAGACCTGGGAGATGTCACCTCCTCAAATGGATTTAGTTGAGGGTAATATTCAAATGAATTTACATTCTTTGAACCGTGTTCAAACCCTAGTTTAATGATACTCTTTTTTGCCCTCTACATATATCCTCGATTTTATCCGTCTCCTCAAATCTACCCTAGTCTAAAAAGAGAAGTCCCCCTCCCCCATTCTGCTACCTCCTCCAGCTATCTTTCCATGTCTCTCTGCCTCCCTACCTCCTGTCTGCACAGGTTTTGAAGCATCTTTCTTCTAAAGCTCAGCTCTTCTCTGTTCACTCACCTGCTCACACCTTCAGTGACTCTCAATGCCAACAGGGTAAAGGCTGGCTGACATTCAGGGTTTCCATAATCTAAGCCCAAGCTACCCTTCCCATGTTACCTTCCACCGTTCCTCCTAACATATCTACCAAACATGACTGCTCCAATCCAGCCAGAATCAAGCAAGCATTTCTTAAGCACCTACTGTGTGCTCAGCCCTATACACTCATTTACATTATTTCTGACCAGATGGCACTTTCCTATCTCTGCACCTTTGCTCATTTTGTTCCAGGTCAGCAATGCCCTCTCACACCCCTCTGTCCAGCAGATGATCCATCTCTCTTACTTAAAAAAAAAAAATTTAAATTAGTGAACTTAACACCAAACAAAAAGGGCTGCAAATCTCCATTATATGCAGCTCGCTTTTCTTTTGAAATACATAATAAGTGCCACATGTCACTTTTAAAGCCCTTATACCTGAATTGATTCATCTTGGGTCTTTCCTGGCTCTAAGTCAGTTTTTTCCAGTCACACCAGTCAGTCCCTCCAATCCCCTCATTTCACAGATAAGGAAACCTGCCCAACTCATCTGTGTTTCTCCAAAAGGATAACCTCACAAAAGGTCTTGCACATGAGATACCTTCAATAAATGTTAGCTGAATGGAAATAAGGTAGCTAAGAAAAAGAGTGACAGGTAGGAAGATGGGAAAAATTTGGGGGAGGAGGAAAGTGGGAAGTGGGGAAGGGGTCAGGTACAGGGAAATATGAAAGTGGGAAAATCAGGGAAGTCAGAACGTTGTTACCACTCCCAACAGAACTGAAATCAAGGAGTAATCTTTCATCTTATTTTTGTAAAGTCAATGCCTTGCACATAGTAGGAGTTTATTAAATGCTTTTTGTATTAGATTGGAAGTGTTCCTGCCTCTGTCCACCCCGTCTCCCCAAGCCAGCCTACATACTGCTACCTAAACATCCTCCACTGAAAAATCTTCAGTGGCTCCCTGTTTTCTGGCTGACCTCAAATTCAAAGCCCAAAACAATCTGGCACCACTATGCCTTTCTAGTTTTATCCCATCAAAGGCTACTTCACGGATTATCTTACATACCCAGCACTTAATATAAAGTCAATCAGTCAACTAGTATTTATTAAGCAACAACTACTATATACCAAGCAGTGTGCTATGTGCTAAGGATACAAAAAAAGGTTTAAGGAACTCACAATCTAATTAGGGGGAGACAATATGAACACAACTATATACAAACTACAGACATACGAAGGATAAATTGGGAAGTAGATTCTCTCAGAAGAAAGGCAAGAGTCTAAAATTATGGGCTGAGATTTTAACTGGGACTTAAAGGAAGCTGGGAGGCAGCGATGAAGACGGAGAACATTCCAAGCCGGGGGACAGCAGGAGAAAATGCTTGGAGTCAGGAGATGGAGTGTCTTATGTGAGGGAGAGCAAGGAGGCCAGTGTCACTAGAGTAGTATGTGCAGGGGAGTAAGGTGTAAGAAGACTGGAAAGGCAGGAAGGAGCCAGTTCATGAGAGGCTTTAAAAGCCAAATTGATTTTATACTTGACCCTGGAGGGAACAGGAAGCATTTGGTATTTTATTGAATAAGGAAGTGACACGGTCAGATTTGTACTTGAGGAAGATCACTTTGAAAGCTGAGTGGAGGATGGATTGGAATTGCAATACCCCAGGTCTCAGGTGATGAGGGCCTGCATCAGGGTGCTGGTACTGTCAGAGAGATGTCACCCAGGCAGAAATGAGATTTAACAACTGAATGGATATAGGTGGTAAGTGCCTTGGACTTCACATTTGTTGACTTAATCCTGGCCTTCCTCTTTTCCTGAATTCTCCTCTAGAATGCTCATCATCCTTTAAAGTAATTCAAAGGCACCCAACTAGGATCAAAGACTTAGAGCTTGAAGGGACCTTGGAGGTCATCTAGTTCAACTCTTTCATTTTAAAGATGTGGAAACTGAGGCCCATAAAGCTTCCATGACTTGTCTAAGGTCCCACAAGTTGTAAAGCCAAGACTGGAACCTAAACCCTTTAATTCTAAATTCTGCCCTTGTCTGCAGCAACCACCTTTTCTCTCAGACTTCACATAACCCTTTGTTTACTTTTTCCAGCACATTTATCATATTTTATTAAGCTGTAAGTGCCTACAATGTGCTAGGCTTTGGGGACCACCCTGATGCAGGCCCTCATCACCCCCACCTTGCCTCAAGTCTTTCCATACTCCAGTCCATCCTCCACTAAGCTTTCAAAGTGATCTTCCTAAAGTACAAGGGTTTTACACTCAGAGTCCCCCTACTAGACTGTGAAGTCTCCGTGGGCAGGGGTTGTATCTCATATAATTGTTCTTCGGTCCTTTCAGTCTTATCTGCCTCTTCCTGACCAGATTTGTGGTTTTCTTGGCAGAGATACTCGAGCTGTTTGCCATTTCCTTCTCCAGCTCATTTGACGCATGAGGAAACTGAGGTAAATAGGGTGAAGTAACTTGCCCAGGGTCACACAGCTATAAGTGTTTGAAGCCATATTCGAACTCAGATCTTCTTGACTCCACGCCTGACACTCTAGCCATATGCAGCTTAGGGGCCCCTAATGTATGTAAACTTCTCCCCTAAATCTCTGCACACAGTAAGGTAATGACTGGATTTGCAGAGATTGGGGTGGACTCAGGAAAGCTCTCCTGGGGGGGAAAAAGGGAGGGGCAGGAGAAAGATGGAGAAGGGGAAGAGGTGGAAGGAGAGCATCTAGAGGAGGGGAAAGGAGGAGCGGGGTGGGAGGGAGGTGAGGGAGCAGCAGGAGGAAGAAAGGAGGGAGGTGAGGGAAGGGGTGGAGGGGCAGGCAGGGGAGGAGGGTGGAGGAGGAGCGGGGTGGCGGGGGGAGAAGGATGGCGGTCCTCCCCTTCCCCCTCCAGCCGCACTTCACTAACATTACAGGGATGTCACGAAATGCAGCTTACCCCCCTCCCCATCCCAGACCAGCATCTGGTCCACGGGCGCCCATCCCACGGCTCGCGGAAGGCCTAAGGAAGCCACTTCCCTCCCCTCATTCTAACACTACGAAGGGGAGAGTCCCTCACCTGAAGCTCACGCTCCAGCGTCAGGGCAACCGCCACGAGGGCCACTTCCGCTTCCGCCGCTTTCTCCCTCCTCTCCTACCCCTCCCGCCGACGCGCATGCGTCGGGAGTCGCCGGGCGAGCGCGCGGCCGCCCGTTCTGGCCCCGCCTCCGCCGGACGCACGCTGGGCGGTTTCCTCCTCGCCACCGCGTCTCGCCCCTCCCCCATCTCCGAGGCCGGAGACGTGACGCTCTGGCCCCGCCTCCTCCTCCCTTCGCCTTTCCTCGGGCACGCCGGGGCCGGTGGCCGGGCGCTTTCCGGGCCCGCCTCCTCCTTTCTTCTCCTCCTCCTCGGAGTCTCTTCCCATCCCCCCACCTCCCTCTCCCCTTGCGCCCCTGCTGGGGGACAATGGACTGTGTGTTAGGAAGGGGTGGGGCAGCGTTAAACGTAAGCTCCTTGAGGGCAGGCGAGGCCTACCCACCACGGAGGTTCCTAAGATTGTAGATTTGCAGCTGGAAGGGACCTCAGAAGCCACCTAGCCCAAAGCGCCTATTGTACAGGTGAGCAGACTGAGGCCCGGGAAGGTGCTATCTAATAAATACCAGCCTCCCAGCCTCAGTTTCCTCATCTGTAAAATCGGGATCATAATAGCACAAGGTCGTTGTGAGACTCGGTTGTAATAACATATTTGCAAACCTTAAAGTGAAATATAATAACTAAGGGCTATCAGTGTATTATTAATGAAAGAGTAGTGATCAGGCCACTAACTATGGATGAACTGAAAGCTTGTAGGTCTCCATCCTGAGCTGCCGCCGAGATCCTTGAACACAGTACTTAGGAAGAAAGCAGCAGCAAGAGTCCAGAGGATACGAACTAGGACCAAGTAAGACCCAAACATTCCTTTATAGAAGGGTGCAGAACCCGGCTCTAACACAAAGTCCCAAATTTAGAAAGTAGGAATGAGTAAACAAAAAAAAGAATCCCACCATAAAGATACTGACATGGATACCTAAGAGACAAACCTGGAAGAAGAGAATAGCTCCAAAGCACAAAGGCTCAAAGAAAAACACTGCTTGGACACAAGTTCAACTAGAATTCCGGGGAGAAATAAAGCAAACATTTAAAAAAGATAGAGATCATTAATCAAATTCCATTGCCTTACAAATAGGGAAACTGAGGTCCAAGAGGGGAGTAACTCTTCCAGGCTGAGGCAGAGCCAGGACTAGAACACAGGTGTCTTGACTCTGCCCTGAGCTCTCTCTCCCCCCATAGTGGATCACACCATCTCCTCTGTCTCCATAAAGATTTCTCCTAGATGCTTCCCCATACACACTCCCAGCTGCTGACCCTTTAAATAAACACCGATGCCTGGCTGAGGATGAGGAGTGGGCTCAGCTGAGCTGAGCTAGATTGAGTTTCTAGGTGCTTTCCAGTCAAGCAGCCTGCTGACTAGGTTTCTTCTCTCTTCTGTTTTATAACCAGCTACCATGACTGTCCCTGTCCCTTCTCCCTCTCCTGTTTCTCCTTGGCTAAAACCTGAATGCTTTGGGCAAAGCTAGTTTGCAGTAGACATTAGACTAGCTTCTGTGGGATGCCTAGTTCCCCTTCCCCCGGGCCCTGGTACCTAAATGATGAGGCTACCTCCTGGACACAGATGGTCCCCAAGCAATGAAGGGGCAATGCCAGTCATTTAAATTATACAGTGCATTTATTATCAAAGGAGAAGTCAGGACACCTACCTTCCAGTCCTGGCTTTGCTGCTAAGTGGCTGTGTTTTCCCATCTGTAAAATAGCAGGGAGAAAGTAAATCAGAGATCTCTAATACCTCTTCTGCCACTTTATTTTAAGAGTTCCTTCAGTTTTAAGAGCCTGTCAAACATCCTTGGAGCCAAGGGGCCCCGACTCTCCTATTCCCTTCAAGTCTCCTAATTATGTCCCCTAATTATCCTTCAGCTGCTTGCCCACCTGACTCATCCAGACCCATGATTCTTCGTTCTGGAAAAGTGACATTCATGTCTCCCCGACCATTGGGAGACCTTGATGTCCTGGAAGAAGACAGATGGCCCTGTGTCAGTCCGTGCTGGCCATTCCAGAGAACAAGGGAGGCTTCAAGGCAGCTAGAGAGAAGCCAGATGTGTGAGGCCGATACTCAAGAGGCCAGTGGTGAGGTCCATCTCCCCAGTGTGGGGCAGTGCCAGGCATTAAGTTTGGCCCAGGAGTCATCAAGCAAGAGGAAGTGGGCAAAGGCATTCGATGAAGAAGGTAAGGAGTCAGGTTGAAGTTGGGGCCTTGTCTAAAAATCAGGCCTTCTGGGGAGAGAGGCTGGGGTTATCAAGGAGAAGGGGCACCCTAGGCTCCTCCCTTCCTTCTCCACAAAGGCCTCCTTTTCCTTTAGCCCCCCAGGTCCCTTGGAGTCAACCTACAACCCCAAACCCCTATTTCTCTGCTCTACCCGTGGAGGAGACCTTCCCCTGCCCCCTGTGAGTACCATGCTGCTATACACCTCAGAACCTGAGCTGGGGCGGGGAATGGAAGGAGGTGTCCTGTGACGTACCAGATGACGGGAATGTAATCGGGGAATATCTTTTAATTTAACTTTTTATTAATGTGTATGGTTTTTAAAAAGTATCGATACGTTTTGTTGTGACAGAACAGACTTCTCAACACACCCTCTTATAAAGGACGTTCTCTGAGAAACAGTTTATCAGTTAACAGAAAAGAGCTGTGTTCTTTCACTGTGACAGTGGGGTGCTAACACTGACCACTGCAAGCCACAAAGGTTTTGTTTTTGTCTCTCCATGTGAACATCATTTACTTTTCTGAATTTATTGTGAGTTTAGTGTTCTTTCAGCCTTGCTATCCCATCCCATGTTTCTATTCTTAGGATAGAGACAAGAATTGGGTCTGGGACTTCATTGGTGTAGGGAACTCCCAGGTGAGGTAACTCCCTCCATCAGTGTTGGTCAGAAACTGCTCTGCAATTTATTATGGTCTTAGAGAATTACCTAGAGCATGGAGAGATTAGTTAGAGTTATTTACTTGGCCAGGGTCTCTCAACCAGTGTCTGTCAGAGCCAAGATATGAACCTAGCTCTTCCTAGTTCCAAAGCCTACCCTCTATCCACCACATGTCCTCTCTAGTCATTTCTTACTGTGTAGTAGCAGCCCAATTAAATTCATATTCTATATGGAAGGCTGGTCTTGGAAGCAAGAAGGCTTGGGTTCAAGTCCTTCTTGTGATACATACTAGCTCTGTGACCTTGGGTAAGTCACTTAAATACTGTGTGCTTCCCTAGGATAATTCTTTAGGACTTAGTAAGTCATTTGTAATAATAAAGGGAATTCCCATGCTAAGCAATGCCCATGATGCCTAAATCACAGATCAAAGTATATAGACATTCCCCAATCATTGGATACATAATTTATTTCCATTTTTAATCATAAATAATGCCATTATGAAACTGTTGATCACTGAGGTTGCAATAGCTGATAAATGACTTAATGTATGAGCTCTAGAATTTGTATCCTAACAGGGTATTGCTTTAACCCAAATAATAGAGTGCCCTAATGTGGAATTTCAATCAGAGTGATTGCTTATTAGAAAAGGCATTTTGGGGTAGAGGTCTGAGAAAAGGAATGAAGGCAGCTGCCCAGTCTTTCTCTGGCTAGCAGACCAGACCTGCTGAGCTTCTGTTTCTCCTCTAGCAGCTCCCTCACCCCCTGTCCTCTGTACCGAAGGAGACTCTGGCCTCGGAGGCTAAATATTCCTCCAAAGACCCGGAGCATGCCAGATAGCACACTGGTCCTGGAGTTGGTATGTGAGTCAGGGCCCCAGCCCTTCCCCTTGACCTGATCTTGGCCCCAGGCCCGGCCAGCCGTTGAATCTTCCTTGTCACTGACTAGAGCTTAGGCACAGGGTCGGGGTGGAGAAGAGCAGAGCTCCCTCCCTTCCTCCAGCCCAGTTCCCTCCTCAGGACGATACCTTGGTCTCTTGCTCCCTCCGGGCTGTGCCCAATGCCCACTTCTGCTTCCCTGTGAGTTTCCAAGGTATGTATTACAAGGTGAGTCGTTTTGGTCCTCGGGTGGTGGTTATGGATGGGTTGGAGAGATGCCCTTAGGTTATTGACCCCTGAACCCCGGAATGTCTGAGCTAGAAGGGATAGGAGCTCTCCTGTTGCCTGCCCAGCGGGCAGCTGGGCCTGGCCACTGTCTTTGGCTGGCAAGGGAAGTGAAGACACCCTAGCCATTGCTTCCAATGGGTACCTGTTGTTGGTCCCCAGGTGCAGGGCAGGCTGCGGCCCCACACCCGTGAGTTCCTGGAGATCCTGAGTCAGTTCTTCCAGGTACTTCTCCCTGCCTCCCCCACCTCGTGGGTCACACCCCACTATCTGTAGTCCAGTCTGACAACTAGAGGGGAGTGTAGTGCGGTGGGTCAGGGGGCTCTACCTTCTGCTTGGAGGGGAAAATCGGAAGGATCTCTGGGCCTTCCTAAGGATTACATCTCCTTGCCCCATTTCTAGGAAAGCTGAGACCTTCGGCCCATCCCCCTCCTAATTCCCTATTCCCCACCCCCCACCCCCACTCTAGATCATTATCTTCACCACGGCTAAAAGGGACTATGCAGAACCAATCGCAGATCTCCTGGATCCCCACAAGAAGCTGATTAGGTGAAGCCACCAGCTCCCCACTCTGCTCTTGGACCCTTTCACCCCATCACAACCTGGTCCTTTACCCACCTAGGCCAGTGGAAAGAGCACTGGGCATGGGAGTCAGGCAGGACACTAAGTGTCCCGTCTTGGCTTGACCACTGACTGGTGTGTGACTTGGGGCGAATGACTGCCTCCTTCTGAGCCCCCAGCTTGGAATTGGGGCAATCATCCTTCCCCTCCTCCCCCAGGATGAGGTTGTGAGAGGCCTTGAATAAGGTGGCATCCAAACAGAGGTCAAAGGGTGAGGGTGAGGGTTTTGTTTGGACCCCAGGGGCCGCCTTTTCCAGGATGACTGCATCTGCCTCCAGGGTCACTATGTGAAGGATCTGAAGGTGCTGGGGCAGGACCTGGCCCGGACTGTGATTCTGACTGATTCCCTCAAGGCCTTCCCCTACCAGGTAACAACCTTCCCCCCCCTCCCCTCATCACCGTGGAGAGATCCATCTGCATGGAGAGTATTGAACAGTAATGGAAAGAACCCTGCATTTAGAGACAGATCACAGGATTTTAGAGTTAGGAGAGACCTCAGAGGTTATCTAGGTGAACCCCAACATTTCACACATTAAAGAAACTGAGGTTCACAGAGAGAGAGAGAGGCAGTCAAGATTGAAACCCGTCTTTGGACTCTAAATTCAGTGTTCTTGCCACTACCCAAAGGACCTGAATTTGAATCCTGGCTTAGCCACCTATTCCCTCTGCCATCCTGGGCAAATCAGTTCTCCTTCCTGGGAATAGATATCCTTTTTACAGGAGCAGGTTGATAGGGAGGTCAGTGAGGAGGAGAGAGAATGGTTGGTTGTTAATGGTTTAATATCAATGTAGTAAGAGGCCTCCAGTGGAGGATGCCGGGGATTTGTGCTGGCCCAGTGTCAGTCAATCCTGGAAGCATTGATTAAGCACTTACTGTGTGCCAGGCACTGTGATAAGCACTAGGAGTACAAAGAAAGGCCAAAGACAGTCCTCTCAAGTTGTTCACAGTCTAATGGGAGAGAAAACATGCAGACAACTATGTTTTTATCTTACTTACATAAAGGCCTAGGTAGCATACTCATCAAATTTTAGATGACCCAAAACATGAAAGATAGAATGAGGATCCAAAAAAGATCCTGACGGGCTAACAGGGGTGAGGGATCCGCGAAGGGCCACCCTTGAGGACCTAGAGGGCCACATGTGGCCCTACCCCTGCCAGTGCATTGGGTTGAATCCAATTTGATGACATTCAACAGGAATAATACACTGATACAAGATGGAGGAGGCCTGATTAGGCAGCACTTGTACTGGGAAGGATCTGGAGGGGTTTAGTGAGCTGTCAGTCAAGCATTTATTAAGCACCTACTATGTGCGAGGCACTATTCTAAGCAATGGGGCTACAAAAAGAAGCAAAAGACAGTGTCTGCCCTCAAGGAACTCACAACCTAATGAAAATTCGATATGAGGTAGCAGTGTGATGCTATGAGGCAGCAAAAAGGAAAAACAAACCTCATGTGTCCTTGGGCTATATATTCTGCCCTCATCAGAACTTGCTTTCGATTCTGGGCACCACCATCTAGGGATACCAGGCAGAATGAGGAAGGGTCTTAAAGCAATGTCTTATCAGTTGAAGGATGTGGGTGTAGATAGGCTGGAGAAGAGAAGACTGAAGGGGCACACAAGAGCTTATTCGAATATTTGGAGGGCTGTCATGTAAAGGAGGGAATAGTTTGTCCTGTTTGTCCCCGAAAGTAGAATCAGGAGGAGTGAGTGGAAGCTGAAAAGAGGCTAATTTAGTCTGGAGGTCACCGGGAACTATCTAGAATGGAAGGTGACCCAGCTCCTTCCCGCTGAAGGTCTGCAAACGGAGGCTGAACAACCTCGTGTCCCGTATGAGTACGCGAGTTGCAGTGGACAGCTAGCGACATCCCTTCTAACTCTCAACTTGTGTGACACCAGAATTTATCCCCAAAGGGCAGTTGTTCTAAAACTTTTGGTACATCACAGAAAAACTCTGGAAGACAAAATATCCATAGCTGGGCTCTATGGTAGGAAAAACAAACTGGAAACAAAGCAGGTGCCCATCAGACGGGAGATGAGTGAACAGATGAGTGTAAGAAGAAACAACAAAGATAAGAAATTCAGAAAAATGGGAAGATCTAAATGAACCCATGCAGAGAGAAGGGAGAAGAACCAGGAGAGCAATGCCCATCTTGCTGATGCAAATGAAAACAATAATAAAGCACCATTGAATTCATATTAATTTCAGTGCCCAATCTTTGTTCCAGAGAAAAGAGGAGAAAGCATACTTCTGTCCTCTTGGTAGAAAGGTGGGTGGCTAGGAGTGTCAGGGTGGGGAACCTGTGGCTTTGAGGCCACATGTGGCCCTGTAGGTCCTCAAGTGGGGCCCTTTGACTGAATCCAAGCTTCACAGAGCAAATCCCATTAATAAAAGGATTTGTTCTACAAAACTTGGACTCAGTCAAAAGGCCGCACCCAAGGACCTAGAAGGCCGCAGGTTGGCCCCCCCCACCCCAGTCTCTAAGGGCATCTAAGGGGTGCCAGGGCAGCTAGATGGTGTAGCTGATAGAGTGCCTGGTCTGGAGTCAGGAAGACTCGTCTCCCTGAGTTCAAATCTGGCCTGAGACACTTGCTTAGGCTGTGTGATCCTACGCAAGTCACTTCACCCTGTTTGCCTCGGTTTCCTCATCTGTAAAATGAGCCGGAGAAGGAAACAACAAACCTCTCCAGTATCTCTGCCAAGAAAACCCAAAATGGAGTCTCAAGGAGTTAGACATGACTGAAAAATGGCTGAACAACAACAGGGTTGTCTAATGAGGAATGGGTCATTAGCTTCTTTGGGTGGTTTTGTTTAACTTTGTCTTTGCTCACTGGCATTTTCTGGGGAGTGGGTGGGGTGGGTAAGAAAAATGAAACAAAATATAAACGAGTTAGATTAGCTCTTAATCCTGGGAATACGGCCCCTTTACCACAATGCACCCATCCGTATACAGAGCAGGAATTTGCTGCCCTCTAACGGTCATAAGGAGGAAATTGCCTAAACTAGACAATGGGAATTATTAGGTGGGAGGAAGATGTCCCATCCTTTGCATGTCTTCCAGGTGGACAACCAGCTCCTGATTCCCCGATGGCAAGGAGACAGTGAGGACCAGGAGCTGTCTAAGCTTCTGCCTTTTCTGGAACGTCTAAGTCACTTGGTAAGGAAATAGTGGGGAATGGGACAGAAAGCCCCCATTGAGGTCTTGGCCCAACTTCTCGACCCTTCCGCACTCCACTCATTGGACCTTCTATCTCATAAGTTCCCCAAGTGGGTGATGCTGTCCCTTGGGGGCACTGAAACAATCCAGGGAGGTGGTCGTAGCCTCCGGTGCAATTGGGGGGGGGGCGTTGAATAAAAATACTGGGGAGGTGGAAGCATAAGGAAAGAGAAGAAAAGAAAATTTTGAAAACCTATTCGTGCATGCTTCATCTGTTGTGTAACAGAGTTAAAGTCATAGTGATTACATTGTTTTCCAAAGAAACACACAAAATGCAAGTTATAATAGATCAGTGGTCAAGTCTGCCTACAGGTCTTAACAAACAAATGTTGGCAGGCCGGCGAAGTCCAGCATGCCTCAGCAGGAATATGTGTGTGTAATGATTTGTTTATAATACAGTGCTATGTGGTTATATTGCAGTGCAGGAAAAAAACCCCACAAATTTACAATAAATTATTAAATTTAAGATGTGTCATTTAAAAATATATTTTATATCTTTTGAAATGACACAAATTTAAAAAAAAACATTAAAGGGTTAAAGAAAGTAGATTTCCAGGGGGGTGCTAAGTAATTTTTTTTTTTTAAAAAGGGATGGTAGGCCAAATTAGTTTGGGAATCTCGGATTCCCTGACACTCTGGTGGAGTGCCCTGCCTCCTTCCCCTAGTCCTTATCTTCCATCTTGTCATTGCCTCTCCCTTATCCTTTGTCACATAGGATGATGTCCGACCAGAGCTTTGGAACCTCCACCCTACTCTGAGCACAGAGAAGTGAAGCAGGCCGCCCTTCCCTGGGAAGGTATGTGTGCATCTGGAGACTCCCCCTCTCCAATTCCACCCCCTCCCCAACACACATGCCTCTGACATCTATCTGGCTTTGGCCGTGGGAATGCTGAGGAGGTGGAGAGAAAACAAGTTTTCCTTGGATTTGATTGTGCTCGGCCTAGGTTCAGGTCCAGGGCTCCAGTGAAATCAGGTAATGAAACAGTGAAATCGGACGCCTTGGCTAAGAAATGAAATCTACTGCCTTATGTTCTGCCCCCTTCTCTGTATTTTCTTAAGGGAACACAGGCTGGGGCTAGGAAGGTGTAGTGAACGGTGGTGGGGACTGAACTGGGATTTTCACCTTTGTCAGGGTAGGGGCACTCCCATACTACTCCTTGTTTTATCTAATCTAGCAAACACAGCAGAAGAAGATGTGTGGCTTACTTTCCTTGGGCTATAGGTCATAGGATGTGTTATTGGGTCCAGGGTCTTGCCCTCTGTGACGAGACAAGGCTGCTTAGAAAGCCTGAGGTAGAAGGGCCTATAGAAACAAGAACAGTATCAGAGGTGAACGGGGACCTCAGTGCAACTTCTTTCTCTCTTCCATGACAGAACCAGACTTGAACCCAGGGTTTTCTCAAGGGACACACTTTTTTTCCATCAGGGTAGGGGAGCTACCTCTGGGAAAATCGTGGCCTCTGACCCCCAGCCCTGATTTGTGTTGTCCACTGCAGGCAGATGCTGAGCTCTGGGGGCTTTCAGCGGTCTGGGAGAGCAACAGGAGCTCCCTGAGAGAGGACATCTGTTGCATTTCATGTATGAAAAGACTGAGAAACTTGAATAAAATGGTTTTACCACTCCAGTGGCTGAGGTGGACAAAGGGCCTATGGCAGAGGAGAGCATTGTCTGGGCTTACTGGGTGCAGAGCAGCAGTAATAATAATAGTAACAAATGTTTTACGTGCATGATCTCATTTAGATTTTGATTGTCCATTTTACCGAAGAGGACACTGCATTTTGGAGAGGTTAACTGCCTTGCCCCTTCAGGTGTCAAAGGGGGTTTGATTGGATGTCTTCCTGACTCCCAAGCCATCACTCTGTCTAGTATGCCAGTTTGCCAGGGCAGGTGCCTTAGTCAGTCCATAAACACTTGTTAAGCACCTATTATGTGCTGGGTACTATGCTAACCCCAAGAGACAGAGTTTCTGCCTTAACCACCTTTGTAAAAGGGAATGCCCTTGATGACTAAAAAGTTACCTCGATTGGTGACATTTTACTCCTGCTTGATATTAAGACTGGGCCACCCCCAGCAATCTGGATGGGCAAGCCATCTCCAGCTGGACCATGCTGGTTGGTTTTCTCCTTCCTGAGCTGGGTCACCCTAAACTCTGCAGGAGGGGTACAAGGACAGGGGCTCATTTACTACCCCCCACCAAGAACTTGCCCAGAATAGATCCTGTTTATACTTTGAGCTCAAGTTAGGTCTCCTGGTTGGGTGGGGTCCCCGCCCAAGATTGAAGAGCAAGTTCCTGGAGGGCTGGGACAATCTCATCAGTCTTGTTCTTTAGAGACTGACTTTTTACAGGGGCTGGGCTTTGGATGAAGAAATAAAGGAGAAAATCCTGGATCCCCATTTAATAATTGGTTATTAATATAATAGCAAAATAATTCGCTCACAAAGAAAGGTAAAAGACAGTCCCTACCTTGAGGATCTCCCACTCTAATGGGGGAGGTGAGACCTGAGCTTCCTGACACAAACGCACAGCCCTTAGTACCATATGCTTTAGTATCTTCTCTGGGGCTCAGTGGTCTTAGATTATTTTAAAATAGTATTTTTTCCAGTTACATGTAAAGACAATTTTTAACATTCATTTTTAAATAAAACTTTGAATTCCAGATTTTCTCCCTCCTCTTCCTTCCCCCTTCCTTAAGACAATAAGCAATTGGATATAGGTTATATATGTGCAATCGTGTGAAACCTATTTCCTTCAACCTGCAATTGCAATATTAGTCATATTGCAAAAGAAGAGACAGTTTGCAAAAAAAAATTACAGTTTGTAAAAGAAAAGAAACACGAAAAAAGATAAAGGGAAAGTGTTTTGATCTGCATTCAGACTCCATCAGTTCTTTTTCTGGATGTGGACAGCATTTTCCATCATGAGTTTTTTGGAATTGTCTTGGATCATTGTATTTCTGAGTTAGGCTATTTTCTGAAGATGTGAGGACTTTTGTCCCTTTGGCTTCCCCAACCTTAGTGAGTCAGGAGCTCCAGTTTAAGCCTTCTTAGATCTGACAAGTTTCTTAATCACCTGTGGGGTCAGAGCACTGTGCTGAGTGCTGAGTCAGTGACTAGGGGTAGGGGGTGCCTGCTATCCTGGAGCTCACCCTGTCCCAGTGAGATAAGAACCTTACCAGCTGAATATAGATGCAAAAAATTTTAAATAAAATATTAGCAAGTAGATTACAGCAACTTATCACAAGAATAATGCACTATGACCAGGTAGGATTTATACCAGGAATGCAGGGCTGGTTCAATATTAGGAAAACCATCAGCATAATTGATCATAACAAAACTAACAGAAACCACATGATCATCTCAATAGATGCAGAAAAAGCTTTTGACAAAATACAACACCCATTCCTATTAAAAACACTAGAGAGCATAAGAATAAATGGAGTCTTCTTTAAAATAATAAGTAGTATCTACCTAAGACCTTCAGCAAGCATCATATGTAATGGGGACAAGCTAGAAGCATTTCCAATAAGATCAGGGGTGAAACAAGGATGTCCATTATCACCACTGTTGTTCAATATCGTACTGGAAATTTTAGCTTTAGCAATAAGAGAAGAAAAAGAAATTGATGGTATTAAAATAGGCAAAGAAGAGACAAAGCTATCACTCTTTGCAGATGATATGATGATATACTTAGAGAATCCTAGAGAATCAAGTAAAAAACTACTTGAAGTAATAAACAACTTTAGCAAAGTTTCAGGCTATAAAATAAACCCACATAAATCATCAGCATTTCTATATATTACCAACAAAGCCCAACAGCAAGAGATAGAAAGAGAAATTTCATTTAAAGTTACTGTAGACATTATAAAATGTTTAGGAGTCTACCTACCGAAACAAACCCAGGAACTATATGAACACAATTACAAAACACTTTTCACACAAATAAAGTCAGATCTAAATAACTGGAAAAACATCAGTTGCTCATGGTTGGGATGAGCTAATGTGAAAAAAATGACAATTCAACCTAAGCTAATTTACTTATTCAGTGCCATACCAATCAAACTACCAAAAAATTATTTTATAGAGCTAGAAAAAATAAGATTCATTTGGAATAATGAAAGGTCCAGAATATCAAGGGAACTAACGAAAAGAAATGCAGGGAAGGTGGCCTGGCCATTCCAGATCTTAAATTGTATTATAAAGCAGCAATCATCAAAACTACTTGGTACTGGCTAAGAAATAGAGTGGTGGATCAGTGGAATAGGTTAGGTATGTAAGACACAGTATAGTCATTGACTCTTTGATAAACCCAAAGACCCCGGCTTCTAGGATAAGAACTCACTATTGGACAAAAACTGCTGGGAAAACTGGAAAAGAGTATGGCAGAAACCAGGCACAGACCAAAATCTCATACTGTATACCAAAATAAAGTTAAAATGGGTTCATGATTTAGATATAAAGACAGATACTATAAGCAAATTGGGACAGCAAGAAATAGTTTACCTATCAGATTTATGGAGAGCAGAAGAATTTATGACCAAATAGGAGACAGAGAACATTGTGAAATGCAAAATGGATAATTTTGATTACATTAAATTGAAAAGTTTTTGCACAAAGTCAATACAACCAAGATTAGAATGAAAGTAGAAAATTGGGAAAGAATTTTTACAACCAGTGTCTCTTATAAGGGCCTCATTTCTAAAATATATAGAGAATTAAGTCAAATTTATAAGAATACAAGTCATTCCCTAATTGATAAATGGTCAAAGGATATGAGTAGGCAGTTTTTAGATGAAATTAAAACCATCGATAGTCATATGAAAAAATGCTCTAAATCACTATTGATTAGAGAAATGCAAATCAAAACAACTCTGAGATACCACATCACACCTATCAGACTGGTTAACATAACAAAACAGGAAAATGATAAATGTTGGAGAAGATGTAGGAAAATTGGAACACTAATGCATTGTTGGTAGAGTTGTGAACTGATCTAACCATTTTGGAAAGCAATTTGGAACTATGCCCAAAGGGCTATAAAAACGTGCATACCCTTTGACCCAGCAATAGCACTTCTAAGAGATAATACAAATGGGAAAAGGACCCACATGTACAAAAATATTTATAGCAGCTCTTTGTGGTGGCAAAGAATTGGAAATTGAGAGGATGCCCATCAATTGGGGAATGGCTGGACAAGTTGTGGTATATGAATGTAATGGAATACTATTGAACTGTAAAAAATGATGATCAGGCAGACTTTAGAAAAACCTGGAAAGATTTGTATGGACTGATGCTGAGTTAAGTGAGCAGAATCAGGAGAACATTGTACACAGTAACAGCCACGTTGTGAAATGACTAACTTTAATAGACTTAGCCCTTCTCAGCAATGCAAGGATCTAAGACATCTCCAAAGGTGTGCTACCCCCATCCAAAGAAAGAACTATGAAGTTTGAATGCAGATCAAAGCATACTATTTTTGCTATTTTTTTCTTTCGTTTTGTTTTGTTTTCTCTTTCTTGTGGTTCCTCCTATTGGTTCTAATTCTTCCTTACACCATCACTAATGTGAAAATATGTTTAATAGGAATGTATATGTACAGCCTATATCAGATTACATGCTGTCTTGGGGAGGGAGGTGGGGAGGAAAGGGGAAAAAAATTCAAAACTCAAAAGCTTATGGAAGTGATTGTTGATAAATCAAAATAAGTTAATAAAAAAAAGAACCTTACCAGCTCTAATGTGCAACATTACATGATAAGCCTATGGGAGAGTTTCAAAACAAGGGGCCTTATGAGGTCCAGTGGGAAAAGCCATTTTTGTGTGCATTTTGTCTGGGGCAAGGTAAGGGAAAGCTGCTGCCTGGAGGAGTTAGCCTTTGTATTGAGCTTCAAAGGGATGGTGGGCATTAATTAACTTAGGAGGGTTGTGGTAAGAGGTCTAGGGAATATTACAAAGAAATGAAGATGGGAGTAGTCCATTCTGACTGGAGTATAGAGTGCAACAACAAGGTGATCTGTTTTCAATTCTGTCTCTTCCCCCTTGGCATCACAGTCCATCTAAATACATGGACAGCTGCCACGTTCCACCCCTACCCCCATCCCAAGTCTTCTCTTCTCCTAACTAAACATCCCCAGGCCCTTTAACTCCCTTTGTAAGACAGGGTGCCCAGGCCCTTCATCATCCTGATTACCTTTCTCTGGATGGGCTCCAACATGTCAATGTCTTTCCTAAAACATGGCACCCAGAATTGAACAGAGTTCTTGAATAGTCTGACAAGAGCAAAAGACTATCATTGCCTTCCAGTATTGTGGATGCTAGAGCCTCTCTCAATGTAGTCTAAAGCCATAATGGTCTTTTTGCCTACTATATCACTCAATTCATCACACTGAGCTTGTAGGTGACTAGAACCAGATCTTTTCATTTTTAAAAGTTCTCTTATTATTCATTTAATAATCATAATGAAATTTATAGCCATTCTTTTTGTGGTGGCCAAGAGATGGAAATCAAGGGGATGCCCATCAACTGGGGAATGGTTGAACACCTTGTAGTATACGGTTGTAATGGAATATTATATGCTATAAGAATGATAAGCAGGCTGATTTCAGAAGAGCCTGCAAAGACTTATATGAACTGATGCAAAGTGAATTGAGCAGAACCAGGAGAACATGGTACATAATAATCACAATACTGTGCAATTGTGAATGACTTAGCTATTCTCAGCAATACATTGATGGAAGACAATTCTCCATGATGAATTGATCAAGTCTGAATGCAGATCAAAGCGTACTCTTTCTCACTTTCTGTATTTTTTTCATTTTTTTTCCTATGTCTTCTTTCCAACATGACTGATACGGTGATATGTTTTGCAGGATTGAACATGTATAACGTTTGTCAAATTGTCTACCATCTCAGGGAAGGAGGGAGAGAGAAAATTTGGAACTAAAAAAAATTTTAAAACAAATGTTAAAAATTATCTTTACATGTAACTGGGTAAGGGGGAGAAATAGTGAGCAGGATGCTCTCAGAAAAACTTGGGAAGACTTATATGAACTGATGCAAAGTGAAATGAGCAGAACCAGGAGAACATTATGCACATTAAAAGCAATATTGTACAGTGATCCAGAGTGTTTGGAGTATTCAAGGAGGACTAGCACCTCTGGTATGAAGGCTTGCCGAGCCCTTTTCAGGGCTGCTCGTATACCTTTGGTGTCTGCCTGGCTCTCAACTCTCACCTGTAGCATGCACAGTGGCTGCCACTACATAAACTGTTTAGGCAGACAAGCTAAACCAGGCTGAGGGTAACTGCTGAGCCTTAAACCTGTCAATGATTTAGGGGGATATCTGCCCCAGGCATGTAAAGACTGCCCCTGACAATGGGTGGATGAGAACAAT